TCAAAATGGAGAGATGTAAAAATGATATGTCATAAAAATGGATATAATTATGTCACAATAATTCACGAATCATCTTTTCACAAATTACATATAACTTGATATACTGACACTCATAAATTAAAAAATGGAATGTTTCATTAGAAAACAGACAAAATCTGAATTTTGTAATGTAAAAGACATAGTAAATATATCTCAAATAGATGTCAGCTTGTATCTATTTATTGTTTAATGTTACATCTTTATCAGTTTATGTTAAGATTGTTCTTGAGAGTAGATAGATGTCATTGTATTATAAACATGAAGCTAGCTAGTTTAAGAGTAATTAATATGATTATTGTATTGTATTTAGTATATAATATATGCAGTTCTAGTAGTTTATCACATATATGTATATAAAGGTATTCACTGGGATGTTTTGGATACATGTTTATCCAGAGGGAAATATGTGTATCTCACAAGAGACTCCAAGGACCGACCATACATAGCAGATGTAAATCCATATCTACTGAGGTCTAGGTATACTTTACTTTCGAAAATCTAAAAATCTTTAAAAAATCTAATATTACTTTTTTAATAATAATTAAACAGTGAAAATCTCAATATTTAATTTCTTAAATCAATTCTTTTCTTCCAAGACCTGCAATAAACATTGATTAAACATCACATTTACATTAAACGGTAACGCATATCGTTTAGCAAATCGAACGCTCGTTTTTGGTGTTGCTCTCCGTTTAGTATAAGGCAACCGCATATCGATATTGATCTTAGCTGAATTCTTTGAAATTTAGATCGTCCATTTTGCCAGTCACATGTCTGATCACGTGTCTAGGTACTAGTTGATATCACATGACTTGTGACGTGTCATTCAACCATGTCTTCAGAAATATTAATTTATTAGAAAATGGTTTCAGAGATCTGCTGCTAAATACAGAAGAAAATATTCCAATATATATGCACAAATGCCAAAAGGGAAGGGTGACTAAAAACTTTAAGGAAACTCAACAAGAAAAGCAAACTTTAAGTGTAAATCTGTCATAAGAAAAGTAGACCCTATATATCCCAAAACCATGATCTAACGTGAAAAGAAACAATGTCTAACACCCCCCTCCCCCTCCAATCAAGAACCAAAATCACAATCCAGGACCAGAACAACAACAGACATTTCATTCATACTGAAGTCATTACAATACATGTTGAAGAAAAATTGAAAAATTGATAGCCAATACTCATAATATCAAAAATAGTTGCAGATACTAGTACTCATAAAAGATAGAGTATTCAGTCTCAAATGATGTGGGATAGATAAAATCCAGTCTCGAAGTCCATAGGCAATTCAAAGGGTCAACATCTGTTCGCAAAGCCATCATCATAATCCATAAAACACAACAATTCACAATGGTCATCAGGAGAAAACTATGGCTGGTTTCGATCCCTATTTCTCAACCATTAATGCCATAGCCGGGATCCACCTCAAAAGGTGCCAAGTGAAAAAATTGTGAGTTAGATAAGATAGATAGATAAGATAGCGATGTCAAATATTGTAGGAAGGGCCCCTGAAGCTACTGACTATACGAAATCAACTTTATTCAAGAAATTACGCTAGGAAACTCATTGATTTTATGAATGATAAAGACCTGACATGCAGTGAAATAAGTAAATAAGACGCTACATAAAAAGTGGTGAAAAACAACGAACTAAAGTTGAAAGATCGCAACGTTCGCTACTTTGTTCAATTCCAGAAGTTTCCAAGGTGCTACAAATGGGAAATTATTTTGATTCATATTTTATAACCTCAGAATACTTCAGTGTCGTGTTTAGCTTAGTTTGACAATGTAACATAAAATCCCATTAGACTTTATCCTTACTTCCTGCGAAAGCTATGTGGATTTTGATACAATAGCTTTCCCACGCGCACTTGGACAGCTGAATAAAAGTGACCCATTTCCAATATGGCGGTTTGCTAGGAGCGAGATACGCAACGAACGAAATGAATTTTGAGAATGATAAGGTTCGGACAACCTCCGGAGATTCACGGAAATGTCCGAGCAGAAAACGCCATATTGGAATTTGGCAGTAAAAACATTCATTCGACTAAATTACAAGTCTTGATCGAAAAGGAGGTGTTTCAGCGCTCAAATACTTGCACGGAAGGATGATAATGATGTATAACATAGTTAGAGAACAAAAGTAGGCAGCCGATCGACTAGAGTCCATTTCACTGCTTCATTTCGTCAGTAGAACGGCAAAAATAAGAAATTGGGAGACCATTATGCAATAATATATGGAAAAGTATATTCATAATGTACATGAATGACATTTGTATATTTCCGATTTTTTAGTTTTATGTACAATAAGCCTGTGCCGTCTTGTAATTTGAAGAATTTCAGCCATGTTAATCTTATTGAAAATAACATGGCAGAGAAGCATCCCAATATAAGAGGCCACACACTTTATAAGCCAAACTAGAAGCAATCCAAGATATACAAATGTCATTCATGTACATTATGAATATACTTTTCCATATATTATTGCACAATGGTCTCCCAATTTCTTATTTTTGCCGTTCTACTGACGAAATGAAGCAGTGAAATGGACTCTAAAAGGTTTAGAGTTTAAAAGGTCACTATTATTCAGCTGTCCAATTCCCCGTTTGAGAGCCATTAGGGCAAAGGGGTGTAATGTCGACGTGTGGGGTAATGTCGACATAATAGACGGGGTAACTTCGACACTTACGTATCAGAAGTAGAATTTCCGTTTTCCGCCATGTTTGATTTCTGGAAAAATTAAAATCTCGCGAGATCTCAATCCATGCGAGAAAAAAAACATGGCTTCCCCCTAGATCGGAAATTAGAGCAAATAAACAACAAGGTGTCGAAGTTACCCCACATGTCGAAGTTACCCCAAAATGGTGTCGACATTACACCCCTTCGCCCTAGTTTCATCTAACATGGCTCTCAAAGTGACTAAACTTAATCCTATTAACATTCAGACTGAATTGCAATACCAGTCAGTCTGTATACAACAGACTGAGTTCTATGTAGCCCTCTGTGGTATTACAACGGGGTACCATCGAATAATTTTGGCAACGTACCGGAGAACGACATTTTACTAAGAAATGGCAATAATTTAGCACAATATATTTTTTAACTAGAGTTCTATTTTGATTTTGACAAAAGTAAGTATTCCATGCAATAACTATTTCATTCATGAGTTTGTAGGAATTCTGTTGGAACCCAGTTCTGATCAAGTACGAAGTTATTGAAATCGGCACAGACGGACTTTACTCCGAAAGATGGTTTTTCGATTATAACTTTTCACAACATTTAAGTATAGACTTTTGAAAAAAGTACAGAATAGTCCTTATACTTTTGAATAATTTTGTTATTTCTGATTCACACGACTCTGATTTGTTTAATTAAAAAAAAAGTTTTAAAAATATTACTTAGGAACGTAACCGGAGCTGGGAACGAACCGGAGCAGATCAGTTGAATTATTTAATCCAAAAAATTAAAATATATGATTTAAAGCACATATACTAATTTAAAAACATACGGGATTGTTCGAATGCGTATTTATTACATTTTATTTAAAGAAAAAAATTTATCCATTGTGAAAAATTTAATTTGGTATTTACCATGCATAAGTGCACTTACCTTAGAAAGGCTATCAAACATAGAACAATCATTGTATGGAGAATGAAGTGATTAAAGTAGTAAGCAAATAATTCCATTTGATTTCACCCATTGTATTTGTTCAGCGAACTATTAGAACCCACTCTGTTATACTAATTTCTAATTAATTTCTAATTTATACTAATTGCCATGCATTGATTTTCCTGTAAGTGAAGGGTAATAAATGCTCATTTTAACATTCATATGTGTTTGTAAATAATATATATGCTTTAAATCATATATTTTATTTTTTTAAATTATATAATTCAACTGATCTGCTCCGGTTACGTTCCCAGCTCCGGTTACGTTCCTAAGTAATATTTTTAAAACTTTTTTTTTAATTAAACAAATCAGAGTCGTGTGAATCAGAAATAACAGAATTATTCAATAGTATAAGGACTATTCTGTACTTTTTTCAAAAGTCTATACTTAAATGTTGTAAAAAGTTATAATCGAAAAACCATCTTTCGGAGTGAAGTCCGACTGCGCCGATTTCAATAACTTCGTACTTGATCAGAACTGGGTTCCAACAGAATTCCTACAAACTCATGAATGAAATAGCCATTGCATGGAATACTTACTTTTGTCAAAATCAAAATGGAACTCTAGTTAAGGTTCAGCTGGAAAGTGACATTTTGGTAAAAATTGCTATACCTGCACATGTTATTTTTTGGTACAGAATTAAGTATGAAGTCATGTGTGTATTTCCTTGCTTTTTTCAGGAAAGTATCATTACACTGTTTACTTTTATAATATCTGGAAACAGGTCAATGGTAGCTCCTGTGTTGTCTGGAAATTTTGAAAGAAAATTTGGAAAAATAGAAAGTGTGAAATATCAGAATTTCCTGGAGTTTCCATTGAACCCCTACCAGATATTCTAAAAGAAGACAATGTAATGATACTTTCCTGAAAAAAGCAAGGAAATTGACACATGCCTTCATACTTTATTTTGTACCAGAAAATAACATGTGCAGGTATAGCAATTTTTTACCAAAATGTTACTTTCCAGCTGTACCTTAAAAAATATATTGTGCTAAATTATTGCCATTTCTTAGTAAAATGTCGTTCTCCGGTACGTTGCCAAAATTATTCGATGGTACCCCGTGATTACAAGTCATCATGATAGAGGTGATGAGTGTTCACATTCAATGTTGACATTAAATACCTAGGTCAAGGGCTCAAGGCCAAATAAAGTGTGGCATTTACAGCGTCATTTCATGACAGAAAACTATCCCGATTCGGAAAATAAATGTACATATTTTTTCTTGGATATATACTTAACACCTCTGGGAGGTTTGGTTACGTGTTTTTAATGGGAAATAGGGGAAACTTACCTTTTGCTGGGAGAGGTGTCGTTTCATGAGACATTCCTTCGGAACGTGCTTACCGGAAATGACATCATAAACTACACGAAAATTGATGACGTATTTCACAAGTGAGATTTTGAAAATATTATTTTTACATATTCATCGCATCATATCTCGATAGGAAGGTAGGTTCTTCTGTTTTCAAAGCGTCTTGATTTTAGGTTGGATTATGACATACATATTAACTTTGATATGAACACTCAAAATTACTTGGGTTTCTAATTAATTTTATTGAAAGGTGCTAATATTTTAGATTTTCAGAAGACAATGAATCTGACAAGTCAACTCAAAACAAAGAATGTTTTTATCACAGGAACTTGAATGAACCAAAATATCAAAATATAGAAACATGCATTGCATGTGAACTTTCAAATTCTCCCCATTTGTTCATAAGATACACAGGAACCACAGGGGCTTGTCTCGAGGCGCCGGGCAAGCCCTCCGATGAGTGTGTACTGCTTATTAAGAGAAAAAGGGTTGTCGATTTTGATGCTACCTGAAATTTGTAGAAAATGATTGTTAGATATATCCAGTAAAAATATATGAAATCGTTTCAATAATCGACATGCTGATTCAAACAACACTACAGAGTAAACTTACCTAAAATGGTAGCAATCCATCCACTAGTTGCTGAGATGTGTGATGAACATGCAAGGAAGTGATTAAAATGCAAAACACGGCAATTTTCACCCTCAAATTGTTAGCTCCAGAGTCGATTTCTTCCTCAAGACACGTCCACTGTTAAAAATCGGTAGTTCCTAGAGGTCTTTGTTTCCTTAGGTTCATTTCCGTATATTATTTTTAACGAAGGACAGCCTATAACGACTGCTATACGCAAAATAGATGCATGAAATTATGTTTCGAAACTGAAAGTTGAAAAATGGCCGAATATCCCGTGTTCTATGCGCATGCGCAAAAAAGAAAGTTCTTCATTCCCACGATTCAGAACGATTCGAATTACTTTTCGGTGGTTGGATCGGTACCAAATGAAAGATTATTGCCAAGGAACGGAAAACATGTTTCAAAGATGAGAGTTATTTGTTTTATCACTAATGGAAAATATTCCCGCAATATTAGGTGCATCATGGGAAGGGACTGATGTGAAATAATGAACGCAAGTGACATTTATCTAGAAAAATATGTGGTCATTGCGCATGCGTTCATATAATATGAATCAATCAAATTGCTTGATTGAACGCAACTGCGCATGGAACACATTTTTAGTTTCGAAACATAATTTCATGCATCTATTTTGCGTATGGTAGTCGTTATAGGCTGTCCTTCGTTAAAAATAATATACGGAAATGAACCTAAGGAAACAAAGAACTCTAGGAACTACCGATTTTTAACAGTGGACGTGTCTTGAGGAAGAAATCTACTCTGGAGCTAATAATCGTGAGGTGAAAATTGCCGTTATTTTCATTTTAAACACTTCTTTACATATTCTTCAGATTTCTCAGCAACTAGTGGATGGATTGCTACCATTTTGGATAACTTTACTCTGTAGTGTTGTTTGAATCAGCATGTTGATTGTTGAAAGGATTCCATACATTTTTACTGGATATATCTAACAATCATTTTCTACAAATTTCAGGTAGCATCAAAATCGACCACCCTTTTTCTCTTAATAAGCAGTACACACTCATTGGAGGGCTTGCCCGACGCCTCGAGACAAGCCCCTGTGACAGGAACCTGTATCAACACCTGACAGTGACATCTATTGGTGACAGAACCCTGGGAATATATCTCTCATACAACATGTAGAAGAAAAGTAACAATCACTGGAAAATCACGAACCCTTTTTGGCTCACACAGTGAGCCTATGGGATCGACCAGGCGTCCGTCCGTTGGTCCGTCCGTCCGTCCGTTGGTCCGTCCGTCCGTCCGTTGGTCCGTCCGTCCGTCAACATTGGCCGCACAAATTAAAACTGCTATTCGGATTGAGTCATATCCACATTCATTTTATGCATATCCATAATGCCTATTTGACCTATCATCGCCATTTCCCAAGTTCATCCGGTTTCCGAGAAATTGCGGATTTTGACGTCAAAAAGTCAAATTTTCTGTAAATACTAGACACTTTGTTGAAGTAGAACTTTCAAATAACTTTTAGTAGTTGGTGTATATGCAACTTATATCCTCTGAAGATTTCAAAGCCCTTGGAAGTACGGTTTTTGGTGTTTACTCTATAAAATTTGAGAAAAGGTAGGACTTAGTCATTTTCAGGAAACTTTCTCATGTATAAAGTCAATGGCAGGTTTTGTGATTGACAAGATTCTTAAAGTTTGCCTTATACTTGATCATTTCCTGCAATAAATTACATCATTAATAGATTTAAGCATTCCCTACATATTTCTCAATATATGTCAGCATCAAATTTTTACTGTTTTTGTGATATTTGACGTCAAAAAACAGTAAAAATAAGTTATTTTTCAACTTGCTTCAATTTGACCAATTTTTTTTGAAAATCATCTACAAGTTGCCAGGAGTTCAAATCTGACATTATTTTTAGGATTTGACATTTACTTGACCTTCAGTGACCTTCGAAAGGTCAAAAAAGTTGATTTTTCAAATTGATTTTTGGATGTAACACAAAAGACCTTACTGAGCTCTGAATAAGTAAAATTTTCAAGGTTAAAGGTCATCAAACTAGGTCACACAACTATGCTATCTAAGTTTCTCAAAGTTCGAGACTAGAAATCCAAATCAATATTTTTGTTTGAAAGTCAGGATATAAATTCCTCTGAAGGTTCCAAACTGTGTGAGCACAGGACCGTGGGTCCTTCATTTAAAATTATCGAAAGACTTGAAATTAGCATGAAATTTGATTCACCATCGATGGATTATAATAATTTGATGACTGAAGTTGGTCGATAACGGTTGTGGCTCAAAATTTTCAAAATTTCATTACTCACCTTTCGTTCGAATGAGGGGGGTCACAGATTAATGGTGCAAATACAGTTAATAATCCTACATTGAACTTTTGAGATGCTCCCTAAATAAAAACAAGACTGTATGAGAATTGAAGCACGGCTATGCTGCATTCTGATTGGTTGAGAACATGTAACTCAATTAGAGAATGGTCATGTTTGAATATCTGACCAAACTACCATAACCACCAGAAATAGTGACATATAGTTTCCAACTTTTTTGTGGATAGTGTGGCAGGTGGCATCTGTGACAAATGGCAGGTGGTGACATTTTGCATCCTATGCCTCGTATTCTAATTGAAGGAATTGTGTTGTTTTTCAGGTTTCTCATTTACTTCTAACATCATGGCTGCCTTATCACTCAGAGTCCGCAGCAAAAATGGACAATCTGTTTTAAGTGGATTAACAATCAATTCAACTGTAAACGATCTACAGCAAAAGATTGCTGAAGTTACTTCCATACCTGCAGCAACCCAGAAGATATTGTCTGGGTTCCCACCTCGTCCAGTAATGACAGATGATGGTGCAAAGATGCTGAAAAATATGATGTTGCGACCAGGAGACACACTAATTATAGAGGAGACCAAAACCGAACAAGTTCATAATGAAAACCAGACACCAAAGCCCGATCTCTCTGATGTATTACTTAACCAATACCAGGAACAGGTTTCTACAATGAATGGTATTTTAATGCGTAAAGTAGTTCCAGCCAATAATTCTTGTTTATTTACCAGCATTAATTTCTGTCTTGAGCAGAAGGGGGGTGATGTAGACCTCTCCTGTGCAAAAGCGATGAGGAAATTAATAGCTGCAAAAGTTGCTAGTGATCCCGTAACTTACAACGAAGGCTTCCTTGGGAGACAAAACTCTAAATACTGCAAATGGATTCTTAATGATGACAATTGGGGTGGTGCTATCGAGATTTCAATCTTATCCAAGCAATATTCAGTGGAAATTGATGTCGTCGATACCCAAAGTGGACGCATTGATCGCTTTGGGGAAGATCAAAACTACCCTAGAAGAATTTTAATAGTTTATGATGGAATTCACTATGATCCCCTAGTGCTAGATAGCATGGATGACATCACTCCAGTAGAAACTGTGTTCTCATGTAGTAACAATGCTATCCTGGCCCAGGCCACAGAAATGGCTGCAGAGGCAAAATCATCGAGACAGTTCACTGATGTACAGGGCTTTACTATTAGATGCCTCATATGCCAAACACAATTGAGAGGTCAGAACGAGGCACAAGCTCATGCATCTAAAACTGGACATATTAACTTTGGTGAAGTCTGAATTTGTAGTCCTTTCTTGACAACTACTAGTACTTGGGCCTGTAATGAAATTTAAAATTAAATGAGACTTTTGAAAGAAGTTAAAGTTTGATTATTACATAATACTGATTTACAATCAATACATCAATAATGTTAAATGACAATTAACCAGATGCTGAAGAATTGTTAAAGGATTTGTAATCCTTTCTTATCCTAATCCAACGATAAGTTCAAATATCTCAGTTTGTTCATACATTTGTAGATCACAGAAGGTCTCAATGTGCAACAATTCGAAGATTTTGGCAAATTGGAAAAGATCAGACAGATAACAAATAGTGTTTTGAAAGATGCATTTGAATTTTGTTTCATAGTGCATTTTGATGAAAACATCTATGGTGTGAAAAGGGTGCTATATTTTACATAATTCATACCCAGATACCGTATATTACATGTGTTCTTATAATTCTTATCCAATCATCCAATGTATGAATTATAATGATGAATGAATTTTATAACAATTAAGATGCACTATCATCTTATAAGTGCACTATAATCTTATAAGATGCACTATAATCTTATAAGATGCTCCATCACCTTCTAAAATGCACTATAATGCACTATAAGGTGCACTATAATCTTATAAGATGCACTATGATCTCATAAGTTGCACTATAATCTAATCTATACATGATTTTTAAAGTGTCACTTGTATATTCATATTACTGGTCTGTATATCTCATTTGCAGCAGCATTGATAAAACTAAGTCAGTCTAAGTACCTCAGACAAGTTTTTGAGAAAAAGTTTTTTTGGACCATTTTCTTATGTGAAGTATTTCTATGAAAATTGCTATGAATAGATGCTTTCCAATTTTGAAATTTGTTTTATTGCCTATCTTTTTTCTCACTATCACACCACCGAAGGGATGAAAGTCAATTTTCCATGTACACTCAAGTCAAATGGGTGTTTTCAAAGAGAACCAAGTGAGCTAGTGGATTTCTATTATCGCCAATAGTGAAAATGGTGATGCAGTGATCTCCCCAGCATTAAACCAAGTGGGTGCTGCACCCACCTGAGATTTTGGAAAGAGAGTTGGACCCACCTGAAAATCCATATGCATTATGCACCCACTTGAAAATGAAAAAAATCTTGAAAAATTGGCATATTTTGGTCTGAATTGTGAAAGCGAAAATTTTGCATCCACTTGAGAAAATATTCTGTGGAGAACACTGTAAAGGCAAGACTCAATTTGCTTGTTTGCGTGAAGTACTTCAGGGTGTTTGACTGAGTGGTCCACAACTTGTACAAAAGGCTGTGGTGTGTACTTGTATGTCTATGTATAAGTGCACATAAAAGAACACAGGGCTCCTTCAAGGAGGGGTTCCTGGGTCTATCTTCAATGTTAATTACGTAAATTACGACCGTATCTATACGGGAGGTATTACTCACCTTAATTGGTGGTAAACAAAAATACAATACAATATACAGGTTTTGCTATGTTATTAAAAAAAATTGAATCTCCAAAAATTAAAAACAGCATTGAACTGTTAAAGTCAACAACTGGACACCAGAAACACAACGATTTTTTCATGGCCTGAAAAATAGTTGACACCTTTCAGTTTCTTAGAATGAATCTGTTTCCAGTTCTAGACTACTGACCAAGAATCTCTGTTTTCAATTTTTGGATATAAAATCTTTTTATATGCCAGAATAGATGACACTTTTCAAGGAAGATTCCATGGTAAATGTGTCTAAAATTTGAATGCTTAGTACAAACCAGGCACGCAACTTTCATTTCTGTATACATGTATAATATTAATAAAGTACTTTAATATATCTCTGCATGGATTTGAGAATTTTATATGTGCTCAAAAAATTAAATGTTGATTTGGAAAGAATAGAATCGATGTCCATATACATGTACCTCACTGTTTGTATTGTCATGTAAGGTCTTTAATAAATTACATTTCGCCAATGCTTATTTCAAAAAGTTTCAACAACATGTTGTTAAACACTATGGTATACTGTATTTGTTTAAATCCTAGGGATTTTGGCCACTATTTCATGCGATTTTTTGGATTCGCCAATAATTAAAGACAAATACAGTACAATAAATGCAATGCTAAATATTGGAATTATTTATTGATTTGAAATAAAAATTATGTGTAAATGTTATTTCAGACTTTGTGATTTGTTCATGAGAAGTTGTAAAATAGTGTTGTTTTATAACTATACTTTATCAAACACATACAATATATGTTCGTGAAATTGTTATATTGTTGTTCCAAATTATTCATGATTTTTTTAAACTTTCTACATGAACTGGGTGCAAAGTGATTTTCAACGGTGTAAGATAATTTTGAAATTTTCAACTGGATGCAGTACCATCATTCCATTAACCTTTGTTTGGGAGGACAAGATTTATCGAAAAACTTCCAAATTGGCCACCAGAAAACAAGATGACCATCCAAAAGTTAATCAGCTCTAGAACTTGCAATCCTCTATCATGTGTAGGAAATTGAAGAAAATCCAATGAAAGTTTTTCCTAGAATCGCAATGTTGAGATTATGATTTATACAATAACTAATTGGTATGAATAAGAGAGTGGCATTTGTTCGACTGAGAGGCTTTATCATTTTAAATCATCATGTGTCTGTTATTTTACCAAAAAACAACAATTCATAATAGTATAAGCTTTTTCCATATATACTATGTGTATTCTTTTCATATCATTACATGAATTAAGTACAATATAGATAAATAGTACCGTGGGTACTGGGCTCACATGGTGAATGTGAATTCAAAAACCAATTGAATACATGATAGTTTGGCAATATAAGTGCTGGACATTTTAAAATTTTACAACACATTTTGCGAAATTCAAGTTCATTATTGTTAATCTATACACTTAGCAGCTTGTACAATTTCAAGCGATGTAATACTTTTAGATCTTTAACATTTAAAGAAATGTTTCAAAAATAAAAGTAGCAGCCATTTTAAATCCTTGTGACATACGGAAACTTATAAATATTAAAATAAAAGTGGCAAACATTCTGAGTCGGAATCTTTGCAACATTATTTGCCAAGACTTGTAGACATTATTTTTAACCTATAAAATAAGATGTCTGTACAATTTCAATCAAATGATTGGGAGTTCTGCCCAAAAATAGCTTTGTTTTTTGGCATTTGAAATCAGGCAAGCTTTTGAAACGCCACTTATAGGAAAATAGAAAGCCATATATAGACACATTTTAAAAGTGAAACCGCTTAATTTGTCATTCAAAATAGCCACCCATTTGTTGACAGACAGACTATGGACAGACAGATAGACAGACAAGTGGGTAATTACAATAGCTCAACATGTGAGCTAATAAAGATAATAAAGAAGCATGCATAATAAATACCATAGGGCTAAATGTTGATATTATTTTACTGACTCAATTTCTCACTGTCTGGAGTTTTTTCTCAACTACATACCGGTACTTGTATATGAAATTTCATATTATATAATATTAATAACAGCTACAATACTTTGATAACAAGGCATTAATATGACATATGGTCACCACCTGATTAGTTATTGCAAATGGTTACAAATAAGTGTAATAATTTTTACAAATGCCAATTACGAACCTCTGTGTTCTGAATGCCAGTCAGAAGAACAGGGACTGCGCTGCAGTTTGGACCATAAGCAGCCGATTTTCTTACCATTTCCAAACCGTGGTTTGAAAGTCCATATACATATCCTCTATAATTTGTATACATTTCATTTTGTATATTCTCATTCACTGATGTATGTATGGCCTCTTGAAAAGAATTCTTAACATGGTAAATCCTCACTTCAGCAAATCCATGACTCATTTATGTATGGTCCAAACTGTAGAACGATATGTCACCACTTTTTGGTGGTGACATAAAAATTCAAATTGTAGCACCATTTTTACCTTTTACCAAATCAAAACTTATCAGATCTTAATTCTAACTAAAATATGTAGAAATATCAAAATATAATTCCCTATATGTTAAGTGTACAAGTATCTCATAACCATGTACTGTATATCTGATTTGAGGTTATATAATGAGAAGCTATGTTCATATGGATTTATCCTCTGTTAAATATTTCAACTGAGAGACCAAATAAATAATTCCAATTCAGTTAAAATACATTTTGGCACCTTTTTGAACAAATCAGCTACTTCTCATTGACTGACATTGTACTTGATCAGTTCATAACATAAAATCTGATTTAATGTGTTTTTAATAATATTAAGTAATTATATTGAATTGAATTGATTTAGATGGTCATGAATTATTGCTTACTTTCGTTACAAAATTAGTGTGAAATATTTAATGGATTTTTGGCAGATCCAGCAAATATTGTGGCATGTGACAGACTTGTTTAACATAGAACATCTACAGTATACTAGTAACTTCTCTCACACTTTCCTCTCACAGTACCCAGCAGTTTGCAGTCATCGTTTCACTTTAACTATTCCCTCAACTAACGAAGATTTCAATTGATAAATTCGCTTTTTCAAAACACAATCATAAACTTTGTGACTAGAATTGTTTTACTAACTGTTCACAGCCTCCAGTGATCTCCCCGGGATTTTATTTTAAGTGAGTGCAAAATTCTGAATCTCACAATTTGAACCAAATTTGGTCAAAACATGGCTAATTTTCATGAATTCTCTGATTTTCAAGTGGGTGGAAGCCTGGTTTTAAGATCTCAGGTGGTTGTTGCGCCTACTTGCTTTAATGCTGGGGAGATCACTGGCCTCAGTACTACATTTAACATTAAATTGTTTGAAGAGAAACACAAATATTTTGTTTGGATACATCTGTAAAATATTCCCCACTATCCCATTAGATCATAGTATATGAATGACTTAACAGGGCCTTCAAAAATCCATATTTTATAGATAGTTTATAGATAATAATGGCTGGATAATAATGGCTGGAATCTACTAGATTACAATATATTTTTCTCTTAAAATATACCTTAGTCTGATACTAAAATGGGTAAAATATATACTGTTAATATAATAAATAAATCATGAGCACTGCTCTTTATCAACATATTTATGTTTAGATTGTCCAATCACTCTATATCATACAGGATTGCTTATAGAGAGTGACAGTCAATGCTATTACCCAGACTCTAATCCATATACATGTACAATGTAATATTCATTTAAGAAACTTGTCTAGAATCATATCCAATGTAAGTTCTATTTTCAGTTAGGAATACCTCCAGTTGTACTGTATATTACTGTTCCACAGAACTGTATCTATCGATAATAGATTATATTTGTGGGTATATGTCTGATGGCTCAGCTGGAGTCCTAATGCCTGTACATTTCTCTCAAGTTGGGGATCATCCATACATACACAAAGACGATAATGGCAATGGACAACACCATGAAGATGCATCCGACTCCTGTGCTCCAATTTGCCAGACGCTTCGTCTTAGCAGAATTCGCATTCGCAGTAACTTGGTCCCCACGGTTTGACGCATCTCTTGTTGCCAGAGATCGAATAATGGCGAAGATGCCAATGGGCCAGCAACAACAGAGCGTGGTGAAGATAGCGTATGCCATATAATCTGGTGGTGGGTTCTCTAGAGGTTGGACTGGTGTGAACACCACCTGCTGTGTCACAGGAGCATAGCCAACAGGGGGGACATTACCCTGTTGCTGTTGGGGGTAAAAGGCTTGGTTAGGAACTTGTTGAGGATAGCCCTGCTGGGGATAACTTTGGGCATCATAACCTGGTGGAGCTGGAAAACAAAAGCAAGTCACTATTAAAAAGCTTTTCTTGTCAACAATATAATATAAGCCTTTCTTGTAAACAATATAATATTGCCATTGTCAAGAAACTTAGATATAGGGGTTGGCTAATATTTTTTGAAAAATAACTTTGAGACTGCATGTTACAACAAATGTTAGAAGGTAAATGGTGAGAACATAAATGAGACACAAAAAGAAAGTGTGGAATCAGTCCAGATCATCAGAGCAAATTTTATGATTTCAGAGATTTTTAAACATTGTTTAAAGGATGCATATGCTAAAGTATGCTTAATCAAAGACTAAACAAACAAGTTACATTATCATTAGGTTAACTTGACATATTTAAAAAAGAATAAAGTAAAACAAAGTTGTTCAACATTTTATCTAAATAAAAAGGCATTCAGAAAGTCTATATTAGATCTGAAAATTATCAAGGGGACCACATTTCAAATCTAAATAAATATTATTGTCCAAAATTGCCTACTTATAAGGGGCCTTTAAAATTTTGTGCGCCATTTTTTGTCCAAAATTTGGGATCTTGTGCATCCTAGGGGGGGGGAGGGGGACCAAGCCCCTGCCTCATATTTACCAGCGTGGAGTGCCCCAAAGAACAAAAAAGTTTCTTCTGAGTTGTTTGGAAAGAAATACAAAATACAGAAGATTTTTTTGTGCGGAGGATTTCATTATTTTTTCAGTGCAACATTTTCCGATTTTGTAATTTTTTATGCAACATTTTAGTGTTTCTTTAGTTTTTATTGTAACATTTTAGGGGGCACATCTTATTGCATTGAGGAACATTTTGTTTTATAAAATACATGTAGGTGCTGCGCGTCAGAGATTTCAATGTGGGGAGAGCACAGCAGATTGTATTCTACAATGTGTATAAGAGTTAAGATTTTGCTAAATGCTTTCTATGAATATATGCAGATATTACATAAATATCTTGCACTTAAGATGCCACTAGACACCCTGCAGCTGCTCACTTATTAAAAGAACCGCTTAATATGTTACTAATTAACATACTGCTCAAATGTATGTCACTAATTAAAGGTTGAACAATTAGTGCAGAGACATATCCAACAATCATGGACCTAATGTGTAGTGTCAAAATATATCAAAGATTGGATGCTGCATTAAGGCAAACATCTATTGTCCCTATCAATAAAGAAAACCCCTGAATTAACATTATTTCAGCTGAAATTCCTGCAGCTAAAATCTTGAAATGTAGTATATCTTAAAAATCTAGAAGTGGAACTCCTTTTACAGAAACAAATGTCTGTCAAAATGTGCACTCAAATGTGGATTAATAAGGCAGGTATTATAACAAACGGATTATATCTAGTAAATAAACAAAGTGATTTAACACCTTGCTCAAATGTCTGTCAAAATATGCACTCAAATGTGGATTAATAAGGCAGGTATTATAACAAACGGATTATATCTAGTAAATAAACAAAGTGATTTAACACCTTGCTCAAATGTCTGTCAAAATATGCACTCAAATGTGCATTAACAAGAGAGGGATTATGACAAAGGGATTATATCTAGTATATAAACAAAATGATTTAACACCCTGCTCAAACATCTGTCAAAATATGCACTCAAATGTGCATTAATAAGGCATGGATTTTAACAAAGGGATTATATCTAGTATATGAACATAGAGACTTAACACCCTGCTCAAATGTCTGTCAGAATATGCACTCAAATGTGGGTTAACAAGGGAGGGATTATATTGAGTATATAAGAGTGAATGATGTATCAATCATCATTTGTGATACTACTGCTCTCTGATAAGCAACACAAATATATTCATCCAACTCAGCATAATGGCAGACTCCATCAAAAACCTGAAGAAACTAAACACAGAGATGATAATTGCCATCAACCAAGCCAACCAATTGGAAACCAAGCTCAAGAAGATGACTCTGCACTATATGTATGTCCTGGCTACCAAAAGTGCAGGCCCAGCATTTCACTCCAAGTTACAGCTAGAGATCAACAGCACAAAAACAAAGTTGCAGCTGCATACCAACATTGCCTTGGATAAAATAGATGAGTATGAGGGAGCTTTAGATCTGGATGGAGACCTTGGTGTGGATATCATTTGGGATTAGAAAAACTGCAACTGTATGTCTGCGCACTTTGTGTAAATAACGGCCCTTTTCAGGGCCACTCATTTCTTACAAAAGAGAAATTGAAATATGAATTTTGATGTCACTTTATTTTTTAAACAAACATTATTATTACAAACAAAAATTATTTTAGTTAAAGTTGATACATTCAGAACTATAACTAATAATACCATATTTACATATCCTACTCAAGTCTCAAATGCCTGACATTATGTACAAGACTCTAAGTGGTCAAATGTCTGTCTATTCACTGCTCAAATGCATGTAGTATCCAAGTGCAATAGTATAGTTTCTAAATAGCTGAAAAGTGCTGACATAATAGATGTCACCCTTGTTTGTCTTTGATTTTCTAGGGCCAGACCTCCACTCACTCCAATGCTAGAAACTTGCAACAGTCACTTAATTTCATGATTTATCAAAGAGTGTTGGTTGAATCTGTCTGAAACTTGAATGGCATACTATTGGATGACCCTGTCAATGTACATATTGTGATTAACCATGAACATATTGGTTGTCATACGAATAAACCAAGGTTTTAATGAATTTCAGCATTGCACCAATGGAGATTTGGCCCAAGTATTTTTAAAATGTCATGGAAAATGATTTAAATGACATAACTGTTTAAATCAAAGCTATAATTGGAGAAAATTTGACACTGAATCCAAATATGCTATCAAAAATAAAGAAAAGTAATTCAATAGAGGAAAAAGTGCAAATCTCTTATAATCTCATGTAAAAACGAGAATTAGCGAGATTTCAAAGCTATTTAGAAACTCCTCTATTACTAGGAAGGAGTTAAAATGAAGGAGATTACATTAGTACTATATATATAGTTAAGCAAGGATTGATGTAAATAACAAAACAAATAAAACAAGAGGTGTAAATGATGTTGATGTGCTTCCAAAAAATAATCTTCAAAAATCATTTTCCTAAAAAAAACATTTTGGGAAAAAACTTGATCAAACTTCTTTGCCTTCACTTCAAATACACGTCTCTTCCAAACTTTTCTTGCTTAAAAAGTCTCCGTAAACAATTGAATGATGTATAATTTGGATACTGCTCTCTGATAAATAACACAAATATAACTATCTAACTTCGTAATTGCTCAAATACCTGCCACTTATTAAAAGCTATCTGCTCAAATATCTTACATATTAACATCTTGCTCAAATGTATGTCATTAATCAACCACTTGCTCAAATCACCCTGCTAAAATGTTTGTCAAAATATGCACTCAAATGTAGATTAACAAGGCAGGGATTATAACAAAGGGATTATATCTAGTCTATAAACAGAATATGCACTCAAATGTGTATTAACAAGGCAGGGAATATAAGTAAAGGATTATATCTAGTATATGAACATAGAGACTTAACACCCTGCTCAAATGTCTGTCAAAATATGCACTCAAATGTGGATTAACAAGGGGTGGATTATAGTACAGTGATTATATTGAGTATATAAACAGAGTGAGTGATGTATCAAACATCATTTGTGATACTACTGCTCTCTGATAAATAACACAAACATATTCATCCAACTCAGCACAATGGCAGACTCCATCAAAAACCTGAAGAAACTGAATACAGAGATGATAATTGCCATCAACCAAGCCAACCAATTGGAAACCAAGCTCAAGAAGATGACTCTGCACTACATGTATGTCCTGGCTAGTAAAAGTACAGGCCCAGCATTTCACACCAAGTTACAGCTAGAGATCAACAGTACAAAAACCGAGTTACAGCTGCACACCAACATTGCCTTGGATAAAGTAGATGAGTATGAGGCAGCTTTAGATCTGGATGGAGACCTTGGTGTGGATATCATTTGGGACTAGAAAAATTGCAGCTGTATGTCTGCGCACTATGTGTAAAAAACGGCCCTTTTCAGGGCCACTCATTTCTTACAAAAGACAAATTGAAATATGAATTTTGATGTCATTTTATCATCCCTCCCATAAGATACTTATATCACATAAAACTAAAATATCATGTGATTGATTACTACAAAACTTTAATAACAAACTTTAGAAAATTATTTTAGTCAAAGTTGATACATTCAGATCTATAACTAATAATACCATATTTACATATCCTACTCAAGTCTCAAATGCCTGACATTATGTACAAGACTCTTAAGTGGTCAAATGTCTGTCTATTCACTGCTAAAATGCATGTAGTGTCCAAGTGCAATTACTAGGAAGGGGTTAAAATGAAGGAGATTGCATCAGTACTGTATATAGTTAAGCAAGGATTGATGTAAATAACAAACAAATAAAACAAGAGGTGTAAATGATGTTGATGTGCTTCCAAAAAATAATCTTCAAAAATCATTTTCCTATAAAAAAACATTTTGGGAAAAAACTTGATCAAACTTCTTTGCCTTCACTTGATCTCAAATACACGGTCTCTTCCAAACTTTTCTTGCTTAAAAAGTCTCCGTAAACAAAGTGAATGATGTATAATTTGGATACTGCTCTCTGATAAATAACACAAATATAACTATCCTACTTTGTAACTGCTCAAATACCTGCCACTTATTAAACACTCTCTGCTCAAATATCTTACTTATTAACATCTTGCTCAAATGTATGTCATTAATCAACCACTTGCTCAAATCACCCTGCTAAAATGTTTGTCAAAATATGCACTCAAATGTAGATTAACAAGGCAGGGATTATAACAAAGGGATTATATCTAGTCTATAAACAAAGTGATTTAACACCCTGCTCAAATGTCTGTCAGAATATGCACTCAAATGTGTATTAACAAGGCAGGGAATATAAGTAAAGGGTTATATCTAGTATATGAACTAGAGACTTAACACCCTGCTCAAATGTCTGTCAAAACATGCACTCAAATGTGCATTTACAAGGTGGGGATTTTAACACAGGGGTTGTATCTAGTATATAAACATAGAGACTTATTAACACCCTGCTCAAATGTCTTTCAAAATATGCACTCAAATGTGGATTAACAAGGCAGAGAATATAACTAAGGGATTATATCTAGTATATAAACATAAAGACTTAACACCCTGCTCAAATGTCTGTCAAAATATGCACTCAAATGTGCATTACTATTTTTTTCATGGCCTGAGTTCGTCGCTAACATGCTAAATATAAGAGATAGCTGATGTTTGGGAGTCTGACTTACCTTCTAAAGGTTAGAACCCGAATCTTAATGAAACCATATCACCTTTGTTGCGTCGATGATGATGCATAAACACAGCATTTGATAGAAATTAGTGTAAATGCTTTTCCGACTTTTTCATTTTTCATCAATGTTGACTTCCGGGAAGGCGTTGTAGTTATCAAGAAATAACGCATTGACCCTTGAACTTTACTTTGTTGACGTGTCAACCAAGCATGTTGTACATCTGCCAAGCTAAGTGAAGTAGCCAATATTTAAAATTACCAATTTCAAGTGAAGTACGCAACGAACGAAACTGCGTGATCTGCACTCCCACTATTGGTCTGAACGAAATGCTACGTAGAAATATGAGCCGTCTGCTGTATTAGTCGATTAATAGAGTAAGACCTTTTGGTGATGCTTTATAATTTAGACCAAAACATTGGAGAACAAACGAACCTGTAAATCGTGAAAACAACGAACAAATATTCCGTTTTCACATATGTTCGGTAATTTTTCGTATTGAAACTTCCGGAACTTACAAGGAAATAATTCATTTTCACGGTCCATGATTTACCTCTTGGATGTTGTGGCAAATGCTCCATGGTTGACGGAACAAAGGTGATATGGTTTCATTAAGATACGGGTTCTAACCTTTAGAAGGTAAGTCAGACTCCCAAACGTCAACTAACTCTTATATTTAGCATGTTAGCGACGAACTAGTAATAAAAAAATAGTAATAGTAATAAGGCAGGGATTATAACTAAGGGATTATACCTAGTATATAAACAAAGTGATTTAACACCCTGCTCAAATGTCTGTCAAAATATGCACTCAAATGTGCATTAATAAGGCAGGGATTATAACTAAGAGATTATACCTAGTATATAAACAAAGTGATTTAACACCCTGCTCAAATGTCTGTCAAAATATGCACTCAAATGTGTATTAACAAGGCAGGGAATATAACTGAGGGATTATATCTAGTATATAAACAAAGTGATTTAACACCCTGCTCAAATGTCTGTCAAAATATGCACTCAAATGTGTATTAACAAGGCAGGGAATATAACTGAGGGATTATATCTAGTATACAAACAGTGATTTAACACCCTGCTCAAATGTCTGTCAAAATATGCACTCAAATGTGTATTAACAAGGCAGGGAATATAACTGAGGGATTATATCTAGTATATAAACAAAGTGATTTAACACCCTGCTCAAATGTCTGTCAAAATATGTACTCAAATGTACATTAACAAGGCAGGGAATAGAACTAAGGGATTATACCTAGTTTATAAACAAAGTAAGTGTCACTGACACCCTACTCAAATGTCTGTCAGAATATGCACTCAAATGTGGATTAACAAGGGGTGGATTATAGCACAGGGATTATATTGAGTATATAAACTAAGTGAATGATGTATCAATCATCATTTGTGATACTACTGCACTCTGATAAGTAACACGAATATATTCATCCAACTCAGCACAATGGCAGACTCCATCAAAAACCTGAAGAAACTGAATACAGAGATGATAATTGCCATCAACCAAGCCAACCAATTGGAAACCAAGCTCAAGAAGATGACTCTGCACTACATGTATGTCCTGGCTACTAAAAGCGCAGGCCCAGCATTTCACTCCAAGTTACAGCTAGAGATCAACAGCACAAAAACCGAGTTGCAGCTGAATACCAACATTGCCTTGGATAAAATAGAGGAGTATGAGGCAGCTTTAGATCTGGATGGAGACCTTGGTGTGGATATCATTTGGGACTAGAAAACTGCAGCTGTATGTCTGCGCACTATGTGTAAATAACGGCCCTTTTCAGGGCCACTCATCTCTTACAAAAGAGAAATTTTGATTTTATTATGAAAATACAAGTTCAATGGTAAATCTATACACATGGTACATGTATTACGCTTCAATCAATTCCATAATCATGGAAAATTTGTTGTGCAGTCACGATATTATTTCAATTCGTTGCTACACATACTAAACCCCTGGTATTAAACCCTAAATAAGTCCAAGCTTGAAGGATGTTGTGATTATGAAATTTAAAATTCAATAACTGACTCCATTCTTTTACTTCTGATTTGAATCACAAGTTTTGGTCTTATTAGGCCTACATAACCATGGGCTTTCAAGAGAAGATGGAGTGATCAAGATGGTTATTAATCTTTTGGATTGCTGATTATGAATATATCCAATTCAATGTCTAACATAAACGGCATCTTCATTGTTAGAAGCCAATCCTCCGCGAAGTGAGTCATAGTTCTTAGAAAGACAACTGGCCCAAAAAATACTTAAAATATGGAAATTTGGAATGTAAAGAATCAAGAAATACAATCAATTATGCCTGTAAAATCTACCTGTATACGCTTGTCCATATGACGGAGGAAGTCCTTCTCCTTGTGCCAATGCCTCTTCGGCTTTTTTGCTGCTGTTTTCCATGATTTTCGTGAAACGTAGGCAAAATAAAAACAAAAAAATATTTTGACTTTTAATTTTGGTATACGGAGAGAATAATTCTCCAATCTTGATTGGTGAACTATATCGTCGCGCCACCTACCGTAAGTCATGAAAAATCCCGTGATTGGAAAAAATTAGGTATGTTTTTCGCTTTTTACAGAAATTAACGAGTTTATAGATGTTTTAAAATGCATAAATAACAATTATTGTAAAATTGTTTCAGAAAACGATAGGATAAACGACTAGCATTAGGCTAGAAAAGTTCAAAAGGAAAACATTTCAATGAAAATTTATTTCTCAGAAATACTCCCCCTGCAAAAGCACAGATCAAAACCTTATCGTCTTATATAGCCTAGTTCAATTTTAATATTTCAAGCTGAGTAATACAAAATTGGAAAGCATCATCATAATCGGTTTTATTAGACCTAGGGTATGGAAATTACAAATTTCTTTTAACAAGAAAATGCAGCAAAACTCCTCGAGTCGAGGTCTCCAAGTCAAAAAAATGCCCGACCCTCTTATCTGTTGATTATCCTGTTTATAACTGATTCAAGAGCGTTGCACTGAACGAACCTATATGCCAATTTGTTATTTGTTTAGTTGTTGGTTGGGTAACATGTTTATGACGTCACAAATGATGCGAAGAATCTTTAAACCAATCAGTGAAGTCTATATTAATTGTTTGTTTAGTTGTTGATGCGGCAATACGTGTCTGACGTCACAGATGATTGCATCATATTCCAGTCACGCCATTTTACGACATTGCATAATTTTAGCTGATTTTGGCTTCATTTCACTTTATTTGAAAGACTTTTAAAAATATAATAATGAGTCAGTATTTTTTCTAATAAATATTAATATTTGAATTTGAGGTCAAAGTTCGAAAATTTGATCAACTGATTGAAATCACATTTTAAAGAGGTGAAGAAGTGAATAATTACAGGAGCAAACGTGATCAATGGTTCGAGGTCTCCCGCAAAGTAGTCGCTACGCTCCTACTTCGCGCTGCCTTCGGCAGAGGAGACCTCGAAAAAATGATTTATTATCGTTATGGACATGATGAAATGTTACGTACAGTGGGGGACAAAAATAAAACTCAACGTTCACAAGTTGTCACAATGAGCTAATTTCCAAGTTTTGTGTCTCAAACTCTCCCAAGCGATAGAAAAATAATTCCCGTTCACTAAAGTAGCACAATAAATGAATCCAAAGCTTCATACCTGCAAATAATGGATAAATCCCTACCAAATCGAATGAATGTTTTCATGAATCGCCATGTTTGTTATCCAAGTACGGTTGACTCCCAGAATGCAACATTAGTTAACCGTATTTACTCATGACAGGTTTCAAAATGGCGGAACAGCATTTTGAAAGCTGGCACGTGTCATGTTGCATTCTGGGAGCCAATCCTCCGTTCCGGCGCAATCGGGCGACAAAATCACCTCAACATTTGAAGAGTCGGCATAACATGTGAATATCCAATTCAACTTTTGAAGTTCTTATTTGTCATTAGGGACACAAATTCCACTATATTTGGACTTACTAAGACAGAGAAAATAGAGCACTGAATACACTGAGGTAAGAATTTATTACAATAGCGACAGCATGTAATTTTCATAGCTTTTGCAATTCTTTATGATCCCCACTGTATGTGCTCTTGTTGGGATCAAAAGTGACCAACCATTTAAGCAGGAATGTACTAAAAACCCTTCGACCCTGCAACCTACGACTTACAGCGTGTCAAGAATTTTTGAAATATATTTTTATAAAAACCCTTTCTCAGTCCATATGAAGTTGCTGGAAATATTACTTTGTGTATAGAACTTAAGAATCTGTCCCAAGAGAGTTAAAGATATTTAAAGCTGGACTTTGATCGGAGCCAGCGATATGATTTTGGAAAGGTTTCTAAATGGAGAACGTGACGTCACTTCCGAATCATAGCATTCAAAATTAGTAGCGTTTAATTACTTCGACCATTCATAATATCACGGTGGTCTAGCGGTAGAATGCTCGCTTGGCACGCGGGATGCCCGGGTTCGAATCCCGCATTCACCTTTTTATTTTTTTAACTAAATGATTGTTCTTTGACATTACGCAGATAATTTTTTTTTATTTACATAAACTTTATATTAGAGCTTGAAAATGTAAAAACAGTATATGTCAACATTTGGGTTTATTTCTCTGACCTTCATTGTCTATAACCTTGACGTTATCCCAATCAACTACATGGTTCATCTGACGCACATGATCAGTGACTGCTGATTTCCCATATGATGACTGGGCTTCTTTCCTAACACTTCTTGTATACCTTGTCAGCTCACAATCAGACGTCAAGGTTATAGACAATGAAGGTCAGATAAATAAACGGTGGATAAAAGAGGCAATTTACATAAAGAAAGAAAAACAGTGTATGAATAGAGACTCAGGCAATCGTGAATTATCAAGTTTGTGGAATAAAGTGCTAATTAACTCTCAAGATCAAGTATCAACTTCAAGCAGTTCGAAACAGTCAAGCGACCATGCTGGACGAAACGTCACAAATTAAAAAACAAGGTATGGTTAAGACAAAAGGAAAATATGATTAATTTAGATAAAAACAGTGTTAAGAGTAAACGATAAAGTTAAAATCGGTTAAAAACACCTACAAAACAGGAAGAGTTAAGGAAAGGGGTTATGCAATTAAGACACTCTCGATGACATGTATTCTTGACTAGACATCTGTACTGAATGTATGACTTACTCCCAATTACACATTACCTATGTATATTGTGTAACCTATTCTAAATCAGAAACTTCAAATTTCCATCTCCCATGTCAAATATTTCAGAATAGTAGTTGGTCTTTCACTCAGGATTTTGTTGATAAACTAAAATAATGTTTATAATACAATGCAATTGTATGTTGAATTAAACGCTCATGCGCTGTTACCCCACTTTGTTCCTTACTCGCTCTGTAGCTTCTCGAGTCTAAATGCATACACTGTGCAAGACCGGGTGGATCCGTAAGCGTCTTCTGCTGTTAACTCCCGCCTATTATGGAAACCATAATGAGACACAATGCATGCACAGAGAACAAGCTAGAGTGGCTTCGCAACCATATCCATCTGGAGCATCTCTCTGCTACTGCTCCGATTTCTGTACTTGCTCTTTTCCTCTTGGTAGATGGCATTCCAAGGGATTTCAGCATCCAAGTCACTGACTTCCCGGCAAATTCTCTACATCCTACTTCCACAGGGATCGCTTTCCAACCATTCTGCGTTGCCTCTGTGATGATATCCTCATATTTTGATTGTTTTATCTCGTGGGAAATCTCCATCCTTTCTTCCCATGGGACAGTTAGTTCTACTAAGATAACACACCTCCTGTTGTCTGATGTAATGACAATATCTGGTCTTAGTGTGGTGGTAGCTATCTCTTGGGGGAATACTAACTTCTTGCCCAAATCAACTTCGATTTTCCAGTCAGTTGCAGTCTGAAGGATTCCTGGTAACTTGATTGGCTTCTGTTGTTGGGGTCCTTTACTCTCACCTTCTCTTAGGAAAGACGTCCATTGCGCTGTCTGCTTTACTTGTGGGCTGGCTTTGCAAGTAATAATGTTGTCTATTTGTCTGACTATTTCTCTCAGAACCTGGTCATGCCTCCAAGTGTAGCGGTGTTCTCCCAGTGCAACATTACATGAGCTCAGGATATGCTTTAGAGAAGCAGGCTGATCTTTGCAAAGAGTACACATCGGGTCGTCGATCATACCCCACAATGAAAAATTACATGGTGTGGGAAGTGTGTCACTGAGAGATTTAAGGAGAAAGGCTAGAGATGTCTCAGATGTCTGTAACAGATCTTTCCCAGTTAGCCTTCTGCCCTCTACTGCCTCCCATAACATATGTACAGCCTGCTGCACCTTATTGGTTATGTAATAAGCATAGAAATTCAATGAAAACAACATAAACAGTATGCAATCAGGCACCTACAGGTTCAAATGATGTCATCACCTAACTAATTTGATCAATTTGGTGGAGCAGTTAGTTTAAGTTTGTTAATTTAAGAAATTTCAAGATTTTCAATCATTATTCTCAAAACCTGCTTATTTGCAGATAAATGAATCAGTAGTGACAATGTCAATCATTCAGAAATTTGTTGGTGGGGTGGAGCAAAATTATTTTATTAGAATATTCGAAATACAATAATTAGCCATGAAAAACATGAACATGTATGTCATTAATGATCTAAACAATTTCCTACATTTTGTTAAGGTGTAGGGTAAAAACTAATCATTTAAACGTTTTGTTTAGTTTAGAGGTGACACAAACATGTTTTTAATGGTCATTGGCCAATTACTACATTGTGCTCCACCCCATTGATCAGAGTTATTATTTTTCATTATTTTTAAAAATTAAAGTAAAGAAAGATGTACTTGTTTTAAGTTACAAATATTTGAGGTATACATACCTCTGTGGACTATTACATAGAAATTACATTGTCAGTTTTCTGAATCTGTTTAGTTTTGTTCTGTCATCTCAACCAAAAATGCCAAATATGGCTTCGATGAATTACACTTAATTCTTATTCATTTAATACTTTCAGGGTTTTGAGAAGTGGGCTCATCTAAGGACATCGACATGGTGAAAATGGCAAATCAAACCTATACAGTGCCAATTGTGCCACCAGATTTACGAAAAGAAGAAACTATCAAACAAATAGCTGATTCATTAGACTACTTAGATAAAATTGCAAATGACATATTTAATAGAATCAGTTCACGAGTGAGTGATAACCATACCAGGTTAAAGACAATCAAAGATCGTGTCGAATTAGCGCAGGTGAAAGTTGAGAAAATCAGAGGAAGCAGTAAAGCCACTAAAGTTTTCTCAAGTGCTAAATACCCTTCAGCACAAGATGAAGTCCCATATGCATCTGTGTTCAAAGATGAAACAAATCTTCAACAGATCAAGCATACTCACTACAAACTTCAAAGTAAACCACCAGTCGTAGATGAGCGAATGTTGAAAGAAAAGTTGCAGTTTTATAATGTACATTTGAATATAAAGCAAAGTGAAAAAGAAGCTGATCACGAAGGTTTGGGACGTCTACCGCAGAATATATCATCTGTCAGTTCCCTGCTGCTCTTTAATACAACCGAAAATCCGTAAGTAGAGTGGATACTTTGTTGGTGTCTCAGACCTATAATAAATTACATTTTGGAATGACCCCCTTCAATTATTGAGCCATATCTTATGAAAATGTCCTGTAACTTAAACAAAGAATAGGGATTGAATTTTATCCCCATCCAAAACATAATTTGTTGTTTTGTAAAATTTGCTTCAATAAATTTATTGGTCAAAAATTGTGTTAAATAATGTTCAATGTAAAATGTCCTCATCCTCCTAAGCAGGTGTCCAGAATCCGTACCTCCTTCTTCTTCCCTGCTATAACCAATTTGGAAGCGCCTGATTAAACTGAGTCACGTGATCTAATCATGCACCGATGACATAGACATGATCGGTGCATAATTTTTAATCGGGGAAATGCTAACTGCTTATAGCAGGGTGTAAAAGGAAAGAAGATATTCTGGATTTTGAAGCCCTGTGATTGGAGGATGAATCCAATTATATTGTATGCAAAACTGTATCTCCAGCTACAAGAAATATGTGATGCTGGACCCATTGGGTGTTGTGACGCGGACAAGAGATGCTGAGAATGATGATGAGGATGGCCTTGCTGCAGCCCCAGAGACAATTCTTCATGGAGAAGAGATGCAAAGGGCTCAAGGAGAAAACTATTCCTACATTCCAAATATTGGAGAAGTACCAGAGATCGCTGTGCCAGACTTCCTTCCTGATTTATTAGGTATAATTATAATAGAAAAAATAAATATATTTATCTCAACACAGAACATACATGTACATGTGTTGCAAGATGAAGATAATTGGAGACGTTATTTTAGTATGTGTGAATCATTTGATAATACATTCCAATAAAACACCCATAGCAAATTAATATTTTAATGATATAAATAATGTATTCACTATACATGTGACTTAAGTTTTCTGCAAAAATTGAGTTTCCATTTGAAATCATCCAAATGCTCTAAGAAATATATGAATCTAATGGTTTAAAAGGTGAAAATGTGGAAAGGCATAATTTGAAATATGTTTTTTCCAGGTGTGGCGGATGATGTAACCTTCAGTGGTGAGCAAGGAATATCAATAGCGCCCTCTGTGTTTGGAAGTAACCTACCAGACCTTCCTTCAGTTATCCCGGATTTGGATCTACCCTCAGGCCCTGTGGGTGGAGGTGCCTTAGACCCTGTGGCTGCACCCCCAGGGCCTGGAGCACCACCCCCTCCCCCACCCTCTGCACCTCCTCCCCCTCCATCAGGTCCTCCCCCGCCACCCCCTCCCCCACCTGGTGGAGCACCACCTCCGCCCCCACCCCCTGGGCCACCCCCACCTGGACCGCCTCCACCCCCAGGGGATGCGCCTGACCCTGATGATGCTAAACCTGAAAAGAAGACTCCCTCCTCATCAGGGGATGGGAGATCAGACCTTCTGTCTGCTATTCGAAATGCTGGAGGTGCCGGCAAAGCCAAACTACGCAATGCAAAAGATCGTAAAGTTGAACGTAAGAAAGAGAAAGAGGAAAAAGTTGCTCAGAGTTCAAGTGGTGGTGGTGACTTAATGGGGGATCTCATGGCCAAGCTGACAATGCGTCGTAAAGGTATATCCGGTTCAGGCCAAGGTGGCGGATCAGGGGGTGGTAGCTCTGCTCCAGAACCATCAACAGGGGGTGGCAGCACTATGGATAAAATATCTTCTATGATTCCGCCCCCTCCCAAGCCATCAGGCGCTCCATCTGCAGGAGACGACGATGACTGGGAATGAATTGATTAATTAGGATTTTACAAAATTATTACAACAGTCTTAAGTGATGTAATCTAATCAACTAAACAAAATACTTAATCAAACTTTGCAGAGTTCTTTATTCTCTGAATCCTGAAGGTTTGTAAACTAATTTACCTTATGTACATGTATTGTAATTAAATGTATATCCGAACTAAAGCCATATTTGGATTATGTTTACAATTATTATTTATTGTGATTGAACCACAATCGTGACTTGCGCGAAAAAAATCACACACGAGAAATACTGGGAGGACAATACCTCTCCAAAAGATGCATTAGTGTACCTAGACTATTTATTGAGGGTTGATAATTCTTCAGAATGTTTGAATTACTGGAATATTCAGTGGTTTACTTTTCAAAATTGCAAAAAAATTCTGACATGCACTCTGGCCTTAAGTTAAAGAGGCAACAAATGATAGAGACTGTAAAATGTTGTTCACAATCATTCCAACAAACATGCCAATCTGCACATTGTGATCCAAAATAAGATAAAGAAAAAATTGAAAAACCTAAACAAATGTTGCAGATGCAAAAAAAGTCCATATTTATTAGAATTAAAAAAGGCATGATAACCTATTTAAAAAAATATTGTCAAATAAACTAAAATTCAAATCATTTTCATGAAATAATGTCAGAAATCTCTGACAGGACAATGAATCTTGAAAGCAAAATTGTACTTGCGTTCCTCAAGAAAAATGACCTTGTCTTTCCTTTGTTGCCCTTTAAATAAGGTATGTTCACATTTGGTTTTATATGGACACAGCACCAGTTAGTATGAGACCATTTGATCCAGGGTTTTACATGTACACTATGAAAAATGAAATCATAGTCTGTGATTCATGTACTAGATACTATATCCACAGTGATCTCCCCAGCATTAAAGCAAGTGGGTGCAGCACCCACATGAGATTTTAAAGATAGGCTTGCACCCTACTGAGAATCCATTAAAGATAGGATTGCACCGTACTGAGAATCCATTTGTACACACTTGAAAATGAGAAAAATCATGAAAAATAGGCATATCTTTGCCAAAGGCGTAAACTGTGAAATCAAGAATTTTGCGCCCACTTGAGAAAAAATTCAAGGGAGAACACTGATAATATGGATTGATAACACAGGATTCAAGTATGTAGACCTACCCTTTTTTATGTATAATTGCCAAAACTTATTGACAATGTGGAAAATGTATAAAAAAGAGCATACATTATTAGATATTACAGTATAGTATAAGTTTATATATATAAACATAATATAAGAAAAGAATAAAACTGCTCACATCATATTTTATTTTGTTCATTTATTTTTGCAACATCTTAGCTCCACTTCCAAAAACTGGTACTAGCCTCAAAGGATTGGTAGCGATATGGTGAACTCAATTGAACACATTTTTCTATAAAACCAGTCATCAAAAAATTCTGAAAAATTTACACATTATCGATGTAATGGCCATCCTTCGAATTTTGAATTGTACCAATTTAATTTGAAAATGTTTATCTTATAATATAGCTAGGATCACATTTATGGTTCCAGGTGCATCATTCTCTCATTTCCTGTCAACTAATTTGGTATAACCAGTCTATATATAACAGTGAAACATTAAAATAAAATACATTGATAAAAATATAGGCCATGTGATAATTATCAACGCACTCATCAACGCACTCATCTGCCCCAGTTGTAAATAATTTGCAAGAGGTTAGACTCTTAAGTCCATTTCCCATTTACAGCAAATATATAATATAACAATAAATAAAATTCATTAAATTTAGACTACAGCTTCAGAAGTAACTAACTTCTTTTAATTCAAGTAATTAATTTCAAAAAGCATTGTTGTAGTAAAAGACATATTGAATTCATTCAAAGATGGCAGCACTTTATTGCGTGCAATCATCTTTATAGATGTCAGTAGTTGTATTGAGCCACTTCTCCATAATGGCGTCTGCAGAGGAGACCTTGTATTGTTTATGCCGGAAACCTTATGACAAAACACAGTTCATGATCGAATGTGAATCATGCAAGGATTGGTTCCACGGAAGGTATTGTATTTCTAGATTTATCTGAACATATATTTAGAGTGTATAGTGCTGAAATTGCGGTCGATTTATTATCCACATGTAAACATTTTTGACCCAATTTTTAGGTGCAAAGAATGCATTTTTTTACAATAAAGAACAGTACCAATAAGAGGACACCCATGCCAGTAGAGTTACATACTGAATTTTATTATAATATAACATTTATTCATATAATATAACTTTAGCACTGTAATTTCCATGAAACTAGGCATAATTATAAGTTGTAATTCAATTGTGAAAAATCTCAAAATTATCCATCATTTTTATGTTTTTATTCCCATAACTCAGAAAAAAATTAAATTAAAGATTCCCATAAAGGCACTTTTGTACATTTCTGGAAAATACCGAAGCTGCCTATCAAGTCAGTTCAGCATCAGTACACGCATATCACCCGTCATCTCATTCCCATAGGCCCATTCGTCTACATGGAATATAAAAATAGAATCGCTGAAAACTATCCCCCTGAGTGGGGGGATGGTTTTAAATTTCGGTCAATACTTCCTTCTTCACCTCAGTTTGAGTGCTCTAATTTCATTTTCTGTTACCCGTCAACTCAGTTTTTCGTACCTGTCATCTTATCATCCAATCAAATACTAATGGATTTTTACACTGACCAATCAAAATTTAGTTGACGCCCCAATAGTACCACCCAATTTCCATTAGTATGGACAAGTCTTTAGTCCATACCACAGGTCCTTCAGTGGGAAATAGAATGCAGGGGTGCAAATAAATCTCTCCCCAGGGGGCACATGTTGTTCATACTACACTTTATGAATTTTGAATGTGACTTTGAAAGTAAATTCGAACATGACTTATTCACGCCCTATAAACTATAACCTGTGAATAAAGTCAATATTTCACCCGGTATTTATTCATTGATACAACACCTGGTAATATGTGGCGTCATAATGGCGGGCCGTAGAACAAGCAGGCCATAATGAATATTCCAAAAAATTTTGTGAGTTTTCAAGTTCATATTGTTATATAGACCTCAGATCAGGTATTATATTGAATAATAAATACCTTATAGCTTGGCACAAAAGCTTTCAAACCCCTCACTCCCGAAGCCTAGCCCTGATGTATTTAGTCGTCGATATACATGTAATACCTGCTCTTTGGTCTATATTTCTTTAATAAATGATACTGTGCCATGATTTGCTGACTTGAGATATTCAGATAATATCATTGGCTTTCTAGAGCATGTTAATTTTCTAATTTGAAGAGTTTTGGTGAACTCTAGCTCTTATGAGAAGTAACTAAAACATGTTAAATTTCACAATTTCTTTTTTTCAGGTGTGTGGGAGTTGCAGAGAGACAGGCTGCTGATATTGAATCCTATCACTGCCCTACATGTCAGGGTATACATGGACCACTTGTCTGTAAGTACAATGTGCAATATAGGCCTACTTTGTGTTGTCTTTCCCATTTTCAATGTCTGCCCCTGAGTGCAGATTTTAGTCTAAACTAACCTCGAATAAGTTAGACAGGAGTTTAAGAGGTTTCTTTTAAATCTATAGAGCCTAGAGTCTAGATGAAGCTATCTTTTCAAAGAGCTTAGTCAAATGAATGCAAAGGGTAATAAGTAATACTGTGTAGTAATAAGTATAGTATATGTATGACCAGAGCCTTGATATAAAACCAAATATATACATATGGCTTTAAAAGAGAGAAAAGGAATTCCATGGCCAGGTTATTGGGGAAAATATTAATATTCTGGTTAATTGTAAAGAGGCTACAGCCCCCCCCCCCCCCTCCCCCAAAGCTAATGCCTTATTACCATTAAGGACCAGATCAATATTTAAAATTGCCATTCAGTATCATAAATTTCAGATTGTTTTATCATTCTAAAAATGAATTTTCACATTGAAAGTGTGATCCATGCCTGTGTTCATTTAAAGTGTATTGTCTTCATTTTAAATACTTAAATTTAAACTGTTTATTTCTCTAGTAAAGAAGAGAAGAAACTGGCATCGTCATGACTACTCTGAATCTGATGTCAACATCTCTAAAGCAATCCAGACAGGAACCATTATGTTCATCAAAGAACTCAAACACAGGAATTTTCCAAGGTACAGTAGCAACAAGGAACAGCTACACAGAGGCGTAGCCAGCTTTCAGTCATGGGTGGGGTGCAATCATGGCATAACTTACAAACAAGCCAAAAAACAGACTCATTTTGAATTTTACAAAAATGAATGCAGCTTCCTTCACTTTGAGCTCGAAGCTTGAAATAAAAAAAAAATTTAAAACTCTTTTTTTTCTTCTATTTATTCTAATGGTTCATGCCCCCTCCCCCCTGGCTATGCCTATAGTGAACATTTTATCTTGATATATCTCTTAGTGTATACATGTTAAGTGTTCTCCCTTGTTGAAAATCACCCTCTTAAAATCAGTAAATACCATGTCAAAAGGATGAACTTTCAGGGATAAAGTCAGGACCTAAAATTAGGTGTGGAAAATAGGATAAGGGAGGTTTATTACTTCCTTTGGACAGATTTTGATGAAGCAGTTTACCAGTCAGCCTCATGCCTGTCTACTGAAGTATAGTGTTCCAAAAGAAACAGCTTTTTCGGTCTATAACAGGATTAAAAAAAACTATTATGTAGTGAGACCATCTTTCTCATGACTAGGTGTATATAGGAAGCAATAAGATGTTTTTGACCTATATGTACACTTTTTTATGGATATTTAAGCTCTATCATTACATTATTCACTTAGACATTCACACCTATTGCATGATTCCTCTATGATTCTTTCAGTGCATATGATTTGCCAATCCTACAGCTTCATGGCAGCCAATTGAATACAGAGTTCTTTGACGAGAATGGCTTTGATATTCCTATCCTGGTGCACAAGAAAGAGGGCCTTGGCATGTCCCTTCCACCACCTAGTTTCGCAATACAAGATGTGGAGAACCATGTGGGTGAGTGTTTCAATGAGAAATCATATAGATACATAGCCTATTTTCAACAGACACCATGCAGTACCATGAAATATGGTAATGTACGGTACTGTAGACTAAAACAGTACTATACGTTACCATGAACACTGTATGGCACCATACTCAAATGGTACAGTATGGTTTCATACTCTTCATGTACTGTATTGTACCGTGATTTCAGTGTGTAGATTTTGGGTGTACCTGTCACCATTCACCATTTCATACACATTCCACTCAGTACTTTATATGAGGAATATTTATCTTTGTAGTCTATTGAGCTACCAGTCTACTTCAAGGTTCCATATACATATAATATGAAATATATCTAATTTATATTGAAAGTGTTAATTGAAAAGGTTTATTAATCACACCTTATTGAGTCATTGCTTTCTTTAGTTCTGATTGCCCAATTATCACATCTCCACATCCAATTTCTTTAATATAAAAAACATTTTGATGTTAGTCTCCCCTTTCATTTTTGAGCCAGGGTTTGGTTCTAGTGGAAGCAAGTACCCCAATACCTGAATATAGCAATTTGTTCTAAGAGTTAAACTCAGATCCTGTTACTTCATTGATAAACATGAATTGTTTAAATAATAAACAGTCAAAGAATGGCTGATTGTATTCTGAATTATCTTATTCAGGTTCTATGTTGGAGATAGATGTGATAGACGTAGGGAAGCAAGAAGATTACAAGATGTTGATGAGGAACTGGACAGAATATTTCAACAGTCCGAATAGAAGTAAAATATACAATGTCATCAGTCTGGAGTTCTCAAAAACAAAGTAAGTTTACAGTGGTTATGTAACAGGGAATGTTATCAAATACCATTTTTCAACCAAATCTTGAAGTGGCTGTCTTGATCAATTATTTTTTTATTATTTGAGGATCCATTCTATGTATAATGAAATGAATATGCTCGAAAATGGTTACAATTAAAAGAATTTATTATTTTTTATCATGTCACCTCCAAAAAGTGGTGACATATTGTTATGGTTTTTGTGATGGCGATTGGCGGTTGGCGATTGTTGTTCCCTAATTTTGTATTGCAAAACAATGAAAAAAGCAATATAGTCAAATAACTCCCTTCCCTCCCTTCATTGGTGATACTCAGTAATATGCCGCCTTTGCATACATTATTTTAGGCTGTCCAAGGTAGTGGTGCCACCTGCAATAGTTCGCCAGTTGAGCTGGGCAAACACTGTATGGCCTGATAACGTACCAGATGAGAAAACCTCTCGACAGCCTGATGTTCACAAGTATTGTCTAATGGGGGTTAAAGATAGCTTTACAGATTTCCACATAGACTTCGGTGGTACCTCTGTCTGGTATCATGTATTATGGGTTAGCACAAAATTCTGCATTTTTCCAAATTTCATATTCCTAAAGAAAATCAATACTGTGTTTATAGAAAAGTCGCAAACTTCAACTTAAGTAGTGTGTAGTTGTCATTCAGTCAATCTTATTCTTAGGGAGCTTCATGAGATTCCTCCATATGATTAAATATTATGATAAAACTTTGATGAATTTCTATGCTATTAATATTCATTCATACCAGATGCCATATCCACATTCCAGGGAGAGAAAGTTTTCTATTTTGTCCGTCCAACACCCACTAATCTAGAACTCTACGAGAACTGGGTCTCGTCCCCCAATCAGAGTGAGACATTCTTTGGTGACATGGTTGACATGTGCTACAAATGTGTCGTGCGTCAAGGTCAAACAGTATTCATACCCACAGGATGGATCCATGCGGTGCTGACACCTATTGATTCATTGGTTTTTGGTGGGAACTTCTTACATAGTTATAGTATAGATCTACAATTGCAGTAAGTGCCCTAAATTGTATTATATATTAAGGCTTTCGGAAAAGGGAAATTTAAGTACATTTTTGTTTTGATTTATTTGTGAATCTTTATAAAGAAGAAAATAAGGTACAAAACTATTTTTGAATAGAAATTAGATAATACACTTTTTTTTCACAAAAAATCAATTGTTTAAAACTCAATGTTTCCATTGAACCTTTCCAGAGTATATGAGTTGGAGAAGCGAGTTAAAACAGAAGAAAAATATCTCTTTCCTTTGTTTGAACCTATGAACTGGTATGCAGCGAAACATGTGCTAGATATATTACATGGTAAGACATTTAAACAATATTATTAGTGTAACATTTTACATCAATGGACTTGTTCTGATCTTTTCAAAACTGAATATCAAATGTACATGCAAATTCAGGGCTATTGTCTGAGAAATATGTGGCAGAGAAATAATGTTGACCTTGAATTGACCTCCCAACCCTACTTGGTCAATTGTCTCTATAAAATGCCAAATTGATTGGACAATTTTGTACAAGAAGTTATATAGGCATAAGAAAATGAATTTTAAATACATTTACCCACTGACAATTAATCTTCCTGTGTTAAAGATATAGGCTAGTTCAATGATTAAGGTAAACCATATTCTTGTCAAATGGCAAGCACTGCTTTGTGACCTCTGAAAAATACCACTCCTTTTATAGTATTCAGAGAGTAGAAAACCTTTCTCTTTTTCTAAACCCTTTTATATATGTCACGATATAGGGACAAAAAATATTGTACGGTACTTTTAAAATGTCAATATTTTCTGTCCCTATATCTTGACACTGTTGAACCCTTTAAATATTGTCATGATATTGTAGATCACTCAGATGAAAACAGCCAACCCTTGCCACATATATTAAATGGTGCTAAAGCCCTTACACAAATGCTCAAGATATGGACACAAAGAAAAGAAGTAAGTGTATAAGAGACTATGCATGTATTAGCTTGAAATAAGATTTGCTTGTAACTGCGACAAAGAAGCAGATCCTTCTCTTCAGAAAAATTAATGTACATTTCCATCGTTGTAGCACATTCTGTAACTCAGTGTTGAGACAAGTCATCTGAATATGATACAAGAAAATGTCAGTATATACTTTTGAAATTACTGATTGAGTCATTGATCTAATAGACAGTGATTTACTTGTATATTGACATTTTTATTGTCTTTTATTCATGTTTATACACAATAAGTTCAGAATGTTCTAAAAGTATGGAAAATGTATATTGATATTTTTATGAGATACCTTGTTATCACTAATGGAAGGTCTAATATAAAGTCAAATAAGTTTAGTTAATGGGGATTCCCAACAAAAAATATATATTATATTAGTATAAGTGTAAACTCCCCTCCATTAATTTTGGAACCACCTTTTGAACTTTATGTTTTCAAACATATGGAGGGGAGAGTAGCAAGGGGGTGTCAGTTACTTAAAACTACTATGGAATTTGTTTTTAGCGATCAGTATCATGTATAATTTAAAATTATACAATGTAAAATGATTTATAATTAGCTTTTATGTGGCATTTACCGTAAACTTGATTTGCTCAAAATTGTTCATTTTGCGAGCATGGTGTAATAACTTCATTTATATATTGAATATGAATGCATCTTTTTATTACAACAACATTTTTTAGCACATTATGTGTTGCTTACTAGAATATAATGTGTAACTTTAAGCTCTATATATCTGAAATACAGGGTGTCTGGAAGTTGTTGATGATACTATATATTTATACTTACCCAAAAATGGATAGGAGGCACTGGAGGATCCAGAATCTAACAGGGGACACATTTCAAGTCCAAAAAATAAAATAAGAAATAAGGCCTAACAGTAATGCCAAAAAAGCCCACTAATCGAGGCCCTATATAATTTTTGGGCCCGACAAATTTTCTGGGCCCATCCTAGAGTGAGAGGAATTATATTACTGTGAATTATATCATTGAAATAATTTCTAGGACACTCTGTATGTTATAAATGTTAGGTCAATATCAGAATGCATTTCTGGCAACGATGCCTATTTATTGGATTCCAGATTAACTAACATTTTGAGGATGTGCACATGAATGTCTATTACTACATAGTGTATGAGCATTACACTGTACATTTACTAGTATATTGATTAAATGAAACTTTTCTTTTCTTCATTAGAGCAAGAAGAAATTAGTGAGTGTTTTCACATTTAGGCACCTTGAGCCTGTAACTGCCCCAAACTCATTATTTTTCTAATTTCATGCATATTTGAAATTATAACTACAAACATACATTATTACAGATGTAAATGTTGCATGAATTTAGAAAAATTGTAGATTTTGTAGATGAACGTTTCCCTTTCTGTTTATTTGTATGTTCTATCATATTCATTAGTACCAGTAGTGTTTATATAAACCCATATTACATTAAACCATTTCAGATCTCATGTTAATATGCTTCTAGATACCTTGATTCTTCAAGTCCACCCTTATAAAAAATTCAACCTTGAAAGTCCGAATTTAAACCGTTGCACAATCATTGTACAATCATTGATCCGATCATTTATGCAACCATGCCAACCGTTACAATGCAACCATTACAATTTTGGTTGTAAACTCATTGAAAATGTTTCAATCATATGTAACCATTGTAAACGCTTGACAATTTTGATTGAATTTCTTGCAACCGTTTCAATCGAATGCAACCCTTTAAACCTATGGCAATATTATCTCAATACAACATAAAATAATTATATTGCTCTTTAAAATATATATTTCAAATGTATGTATTTCATGCATACATGTCAGAATTTCAGAATTTTTTTGATCAAAAAGATATTTAAAGTATTGAAATAGTTTAGTAAACTTGTCTTGTGAATGAAAATATATTGAACCAATTTCCATCTAACCTTGAAGGATGGTGATTGTCCCACTCACATGTATATTATCTAGATAACAGCAATGCTAAGGCATAGCAAATCCCCTCGCTGTCATGACAATCATTTTTACAAAATCCCTTCACTACTTTTTAAGTTATTGCAAAAAACATTTGAAATAATTTTGATTGGGTCAAGTCTTTAATTTTACAAATTCAGACACTTATACTTCACCTTCAGCTGAGTAATTATCACAATTATAAATAGGGAAGATCTGTCTGGAAGGAAGAAATCCTTCAATCAGAAAATAATCTTTATTAATTTGATATTTTTGATTTGATAGAGAAAATGCAATCAGACATTACAGGATGTGTTTTAAATAATTAAGTCAATAAGCATAACTTAAAAAATTCTGATTACAGAAAGACTCAGTCTCTTTAGTTTGATAAGAGTCTGCTTTGAAGGATGTGTCTAAAGAAACTTTATTAATCCATTAATCCATAAACAAAACAAAAATAATTCGGCAAGGCAAAACAAACCTTATAACAGAGAGACTCTCAGTTTGATTAGAGTCTGCTATAAAGGAAGCATCCTATGTAATTTAATTATTCCATACACAGAACCTGATAAATAATTTGCCAAAGAAAATTTCCCATATTTTCCTCCAGATTTTTTCAAGTTGAGAGTTTTGAAAAATAAGCCCTGTTTTTTTTTTATTTTTTAATCATTGACACATATTATTTAAACTGAAAACAAGTTTCAGTACAAATGCTATGCCCTAGTGAATACAGTAAAGCCATGAACTTTCAATTTATTGAATGCCCATGGTAAAAAAAACTAAATAAAAATGAAATAAAAAATTCTGAAAATAGTATTTGCAGTTTCATATACTTGCTATTTGAGATTTCTCAGCACTTATTAAAGTAATTGAATAAAGAAATAAACCCTCAAAAATCTGAAAACACTTTTCAAATCCCCCCCCCCCCCCTCTGCATGAAATAGAGAATAAAAAATATATATAGTCTAACACAATATGAAAATAAATATAACAGAAACTAGGAATATGAACCCTATTTCTGGTCAAGCATTTTAATTAGCTGTTCAACCGTTTTAATTAGCTGTTCAACCGTTTTAATTAGCTGTTCAACCGTTTTAATTGGCTGTTCAAGCATTCTGATTTGTCTAAACCCATGAGAATATCAATATGTAATAGGTATTGTTTGATCATCAGTCTGATCATGAACAAATTCCATTGTGTCTCATCTTGTGATTTTGTTAAGTTTAAAGGAAATCTTAAGATGTCTTGGTCAATTTCTTAACCAAATTGGAATTTTGCTCAATTCTTTTCATAATTAACATCATTTTGCCAATATCTGATAAAGGGAAATAAACACTAAATATGGTACTTTTAATTTGTTTAAATAATGTTAATGACAGAGAACATAAATTATCATATGCCATTGAGTGGAAAACTAGTCTGGTATCGCATTCCTAAATTCGTACTGGAGAAAGAAACATATTAACATGAATTAAGTTATTTACTATAATAAACATGCATGTATGCTTGCAGAAAAAATATCCTAATATACTATTGTTTAATAGAGGTACATTCAAATCCTTACTTAAAGATAATTTTAATTCAGGTAAAATGATAATTTTTTGGAACGATACTAATTCAGGATGGTTGCAGGGGTTGAACTATGTAATCATTGAACAAAACAAATTGCAACCATTTACATTTCAATGTGAAATGGTTGCAGATTACAATGGTTTCAGATTACAATGATTGTATAGAAACGGTTGCGCATTCGTTGAAAAAGAGTTGACTTCGCTTGGTTGAACACAATGGTTGCACAATGATTGCTTATCATCGTACAATGGTTTTTCCTTTGATCTTGGTAGTTGAAACAATCATTATTCAATGATTGGTGGAAACGGTTTAAATTCGGACTTTCAAGGTTGAATTTTTTATAAGGGTACCCTGGCTTATATTATATTATTCATTAATCGACATTATCATTAATGCTTCAGTCACATTGCATCTACGTCAACCTTATGGCGGCTGTAGCTTCCCAAAATCGAGAGAAATATGTCGTATAAAATATGGGAAGAAGGAGAACGATGCAGATCTTCTAATTGATTTTGTGTAGCTATGGCCACCGTAGAGCAAATGTGACTGAGGCTTTAGTTGACATCAATTCTAGAAATGCATTCACTGCTTGTAGAAAGCAGCGTTTCTTCACGCATCATTGGATTTGGCCATCTGTAGAAGAGTGGGGCCTTTGTTTACATTGCATCTTGAGATATAGTAGAAAAAATAGAATTGGATACTCTAGGAAACCATTTGTGAGATATGTTAATGAAATACATAAAAAAAATTTGGAAGCATCTTGAAATTTATGTAGTATACATTATTCTACTCAGTCAAGCGCAAAACTTCAGAAAATATGTTACTGAATGGGACATTGTTTTGGTCAATTTGAGCCATTTCTTCAGATTGTGAATTATCATGTACTTTGCATGTATCCTTTGTATACCAGCGTCAGTCTATCGTGTCATAAGTCAATTATTTACATTTATTGTCTTGAAGTTACTCCATTAAGGTGGTCCTCACAGGAAAACTTTTGAACTTGTCTATTTATTTAACTTGAATATGGTCTGGATTATTCAGCATACTCAGCTTATCTCATGTGGGTTAAAACAATGGAGATGAGGGTCTAAATGTAAAATTTAGGCGAATCAGTGTAATTTCTGCCCGACAAGACAATTAAGTGTAAAGTGTGATTCTGGTTATACAGTAAAACCTGTCTTCGTCCAACATGTGATTTATCTTTATCTTTTAAAGGCCCCATGTATCACATTTTGATAACATTGGGTTAGACTACAATAAAAGCCAAAGTGGTTTAAATTTTATATAGGGCCTTTAGATATTTAGCCCACAAAGAATCCACATGTAAGTCAATGATAATAATTTCCTCTAAAGGTTTTCAAATTTAAAAGCAGTGTTTGACTTATACATGTGTTTGACTATAAGGGGTGTTTGACTAACAGGTTTTATTGTAAACTTTTGGTTATGGTGATCTCTATTGTTTATTTGGCATTGTATATTTTGGTAGAATACCTTGTACAGTCCTTGTAATGTGTGAACCTATGTGAAGTTGCATTTTGTCAAATACTCTTTGAATTACTACAATGACTACATCTTAATAATAAATTTCATTTTTTCAAGTAAATGATAGTTTAAACAATGGTTGTTTCTTAATATTGACTTTTAGGATACATCTAGTTCAAATTAATTGATGAAAATAATTTTTGAGATTGGAACACTTACAGTGTGCCTAGCAAAGGAGGAAAGTAAACTTAAAGCCTGTCTACTTTTATCGTGCAGTGTATAGATTTGTTTTTGTTTTGTTTTTAGTTTATAAAGAGTCAGAAGCTTGAGCTACCTGAGACAATCGAATATGGCAAACTGCTGAAGGATTTACAGAAAGAAGTCAAACATATTCAGGTAATATTATTAATTAAAAGTTACTATGCTTCAAGTGTCTCTTAAATCTTATATATTTACTTAGTTATATGTAAAACAATATTCATACTCAATATAGACAGGCATTTTTGTGACGTATCAGGGAAAATGAGGTCACATAAAAATGGAATACTCAGTCCAAGGAATAAAGGAATCAGGTTTGAAATAAATACTCTAAATACATGTATGAAGAATACAAGACAATAAGATTCCTAAACAGAGTATAGGAGGAAAAATAAAGGGCCAGATATTGAAATTGTAAATTTTATTGAGGGCAGAAGCAGGAAAACAGGCGTAGGTCAGAAATGCACAGGCAGACAGCTAAAGAAAGCAAGAGAACTGAAACTCCACGAAAAATGAGTTTTGATATGCAACTTGATTATATGGAAGAAGTTGCTGCTAAGTCAAAACCGAAAAGGTTCTTGTCTAAATCTACAAAGGTATTCATTTGAGACTTTTAGCATTGCATGGTTTGTATGTATAGTTTGTTTGCAATGCTATATGTCAATCAGAGTGGTTTCCCCATATGTGCGTCTTGAGCATGATGAATGTAATTTTGATGTTCCTGATTTTGACAGATTTTCGAGGGAGTGATATAGCATATTCCCCATCATGAAAAGTCAACACGGCACACAAACATGTCTAGCACAGTTGATTTATAATTGTGGTAATGTCTTGCGTTGATATGTACAGCATGTATGGCTTAATGGTTCAATTTGGTGATTCCCTGAGAAAAAAGGGGAGTCCCTTTGTTATGAGGTAGACCCTCTACATTTCTGCGATTTCATTTTATTCCATGCTTGTATTTCATACCAGAACTGATTCATTTGTTAAGTGATTTATTTATCACCATTCACCTAAGCAGGTATCCAGAATCCGTACCTCCTTCTTCCCCCTGCTATAACCAATTTCGAAGCGCGCGATTAAACTGAATCACATGATCTAATTATGCGCAATGACTTATACATAATTTCTGTCGCAGTGTTGCAACAGCCAATCAGATTGCGAGTTCTTAATCGAGGAAATGCTAACTGCTTATCGCAGGGGGTAAAAAGAAAGAATATATTCTGGATTTTGAAGCCCTGTGATCAGAGGATGATTTATCACAAGTATCATTTTTCTAATCCCAAGTTGATTTCCAGATGTAATAGCAAATCATCTATGGACATAAATTCTAGATTGATGGATTCCTTTGATAGCATGCTTGATTTCCAAATTTAATATTACCAGACTGGTTTTGGCTTGTGTTATATGGAAATAGAATATTTATAATTTTGTCAAAGTTTTAAGTCATCACCAAGAAGTGAATATTTATTGTTTAAAGTCACCATTTTTGTGACTGGTGTTTAGAATCTGTAACAGTTGTTACAATTTTGTAACTTCAAAAACTGTAAACTTCAACTTTATCTTTTCATTGCTTGTCAAACATTCCAGAAACAAGGAGCTCACAAAGAGAGTTCCAAGGACTCTAAGCCAAGTAAAAAGAAGAAAGACAAGAAAAAGTCTGGAAAGGGAGGAGTGAAGAGAGAGGTTGAGGTGGAAGAGGAGTTTGCTGGAGATGCTCTTCTGTGGGAGGAAATGGAAAGAGAGGAAGAAGAGAGGATAAAAAAGGAAGATGAGAAGAAAAAAGAGGAAGAGGATCGAAAAAAGCGAGAAGCTGTGTATGATTTTGATGTGAGTATATAGTTCTGATGTTTAACTGTTGCTACGGTATCATATTTTCAGTTGTCATGGATTTCTGTTCTATTCAAATGATTGCAATGGAGCTTTGGACTGGGTGAAGGTGAATCTCAACTGGGTGCAGTGCCTACTTGTTTCAAGCTTGAGACATCACTATTTATATCTTGTAGGCTTATTTTAAATGCTGTATTCTTTTACTTCGCTGTTCTAATCTTATATTTGACTGTTCTAATTACTCTTCTACTGGCTGTATGGCTATTGCCATTTCATAATGATTTTTGTATTTTTATAAAAATTTTGTCCTTATTTTAAGATTTCTTCAAACAGTCTATTATATTGAACAAACTTGTTTTCCATTGTAGCTATCATTTTACTTTTCATAATATAAAGTAATAGTTGTTCTTTGTTTTTTATGTGCTTGTTTGACTTTACAGGTAGATACAGACTTGCAGGTAGATCAATAGTTAAGAGTTCAATCAATTAACTTTATTTAATGTTTTTTACAAGTGTTGCCATGATGTATCGAAATCCTGATGACATCATGAAATCCTGATGACATCATTTGAGGCAACTTGGTGATGAAACTCGTGGCAACACTAGTTTATTTGGGTGGAGTGATTTACTAGTATGTTATGGAAATATTAATTAAGACTTTTTAAACATGTCCATCATTAGAACTTTTTAGACTAAAGTTATTTGATAACTTAATGTTTTAGTCGACAGAGTCTGCAGTGCAGATTTTTCTGACTTTAGTCAGTGTGTCAGTTAGTCTTAAGTTATGTTACCACTAACTACCTCACCCCCACCACACACTCATTCCAGTCCTCAAACCTTGTTAGGACAGCCCGTTAAGACATATGACTTATATATATAATATATAGGGTTAGGGGTGCAGTGAATTTATGTAAGACTAACCCAGGTTGTGTTAATGTTTTTGGTGTTGTCTCAAAAGTTTCACAGTAATTTCTACACATACATCATTTCGTTAACTGCTTGATCACCCATTTAAAGTTTTAGCAAAACCTTGGATTAACATGTTAAACTAGAGTATGGTTTTTAGAATGAAATCCTTTGTACTTTTTAAACAGGATAAATGCCATTTTTACATGTGTTATTAGATTTTTACTATAGCTCAAAAAGTAGGGGGGTGATTTTGTTGAAATTTTATATTTGTCTTATTAATAGCATTTTACACTTTCTTATGACAATTTGGCTAGCGAGCGGCCATTTTACCAGTCATGGCTGTTCGATGGGATTTGTTACGTCATGGGTTGGCATTGCTGTTATCTAGTTTATTTTGTTATATTTTAATATATTTAGGAAAATCATTTTATTATACTACATTAAACTAAACTATTTTAGAATGAGGATGATGAAGACCCCTTCGGATCATCACCATTACGCGTCAAGATCCCCAGAGCAGATTCACCTAGGACCCCTTCTAAGTCACCAAAATCCCCAAGATCTCCGAGAACTCTGAGACTGCACAGTCCTGGTGCTAAGTTAAAGCATAGCCCAGGATTTAAGACTCAGAACCCTGGTATCAAGTTAAAGATTCCTAAACAAGAGAAGCCACCAATAGGACAGCTAAGCATGGGGATAGCATCTGATGACCAACTTGGGGCCAGTTTGAAATTCAAACTCTCAGGAGGAAAAATGATCAAGTAGGTCTATTAAAGGGATTTTTTGCGAATAGGAGGAATAGTGAATTGCGTTTAAAAATATAGCAGATAATGTGACTTTGTACATTATTTCATGACATGTATTGTCTTTGTATTCCATTTTCATGACATGGTAGTTTGACATCTTAGGACATACATATTCATGAAATTCTTTCTTTTTATTATTCACTTTATATGCATTGAACTCTTGAATAATTATTTCATTCTTAAATGCCTGTATGCAATCACCATTTTAACATGTAAAAGTGAAATTATGTAAAATGTGGTGTTATTGTACCATCAGTAACTCCCCCTAGGATTTGTTAAATACATATGCTGTACATTATGTTCAGGAAGTTATTGGAGATACATACTTAATAAACATATATACAATCATATACCATATGTCAATCCATATGATTACAGCACACCTACCATTAACAGTCCTAAACGCATATCATCTCAGGAGTTGATCTCATCTCACCGCACATCATCACAGGACTCTGGCAGTCCTAGACAGTTCCGGCGGACCTCATCCCAAGAATCTGCCAGTGATTCAGACACAGACCAGAAGCCAATCGCATCTCCCACATCCTCGCCTCACAAACATGGATCTCTTAGGTTTAAATTATCATGTGAGTACATTTAGTTATTAAATACCAGAGGCTTGACATGGGGTCGACTTAGCCTTGGGGTGAACTAGACTAGGGTTGAGTTAACCTGGATTATATACTTGAAGTTGACTTGACTTGACATCTGGTTGACTTCAACTGGGGTTCAGATGACTTGGGGCTGAATTAACACAAGGTTGACTTGACCTTGGGTTGATATGACTTGATACGACTTGACCTTGGTGTGAGTTAGCCTAGGGTTGAGTCAACCTCTGGTTGGATTTAACCAGGTTTGATATTTTTGAAGTCGACTTGACTTGACCTCTTTTTGATTTTACCTAGGGTTGATATGACTTGATCTTTAGGTTTAGTTATTATTGTATGATATTCAGAAAAAAACAATTTGCCATTCATCTGTGTATGCGTAGTGAAGTGGACATGTTTAGTAATACAAAAAAGTTATTCACCAGGAGGGATTTGATATGGAAAATATCACAAGGATGATATCAATATTTCCCGAGGGAACGCAGTGACCCGACAGGTCATCAGATGAATAACAACCTTATACCATGGTCAAGAGCAATATCTACCCCAAAACCATCTGTTTGATGAGAAAACATTAAATTAATTTTGAAAATATTAATGTTACATGTATTTTATATTATGACTGTCAAAACATAAAAATATCATTTGGAAATTAGTAATTTAATAGATGACATGCATGTGAAAAGAAAGAAACGAAGTCTCAAAAAATTTCCCCGGCGGGATGATATCAGAATTAGCGGGATGATATCGATATCAAACCTGATATCATCCTGCTAATTCCAATATCATCCCTATCCCAAATATGTGATTTATCACTTGGTGTTTCCTGATATAACTCTGACCATGGTATAAAGTATTTTATTCCATAGTTAGCATGATATTCATAGGATAACATGTGAAAATAAAAACGGTATTTTTGTAATCAGTGGTAAAATATGATATTTTTGACAAATTTTCACTTAACCATAGCATACGACTTTTTAGCCATGACATACGATGCCGTATGCGATGGTTAATGGATTTTTGCTACTTCAAACTCAAAACGAGGCTTAATGTCAACATGGCCGAATCGTTTGGCAGATTCGAGTTAAATCATTTAATTTCGGACAATTCTGATGATTCAAATGATGAACACTCACAATCTTTGATAAGTGGACATTTACAAATCGGAGATAAAGACCCAGACGATCTGATAAGTGCACAGAGGAACAAAAACACTGTCAAAAAGACTCGTTATGATATAAAAATCTTGGAAAATTTTTTGAAAGTGAGAGGAGAAAACAGAGACATAAAAGACATTGAACCAGATGCACTGAATACATTACTAAGTATCTTTTTCACGAATGTGACCAAGAAAGATGGTAATGAGTATGAACCAACTAGCCTTAGAAGTCTATTTGCAAGCATATCGAGGTATCTTCAAGAATCTGGCTACCCACATAATATTTTGGAAGATGCACAATTCAAGAAAACAAGAGACACTTTAAAATCAAAACAGAAACAGTTAAAATGTATTGGGAAAGGGAATCAACCTAATCGATCACGATCGCTTACTGAGGAAGAAGTTGAAAAACTATTCGAATCGATGGCCTTTTCATTGGACAATCCAGAATCACTATCAAATCTTGTTTGGTGGAATAATTGTGTACATTTCGGAATTCGACCAGGGCGTGAAAGTCGAAATATACAGTGGGGGGACCTCAGGTTGAAAACTTCCAATGGCAAAGAATACGTTGAATTTAAAGAACGACAAACCAAAACAAGAACAGGCGAAACTCCACGCAATATCAGAACGGTCCCACCAAAGATGTTTGCTACGAGTGGAGATCCTAATGACCCCAGAGACCCAGTCTCTGCCTTCAAGAAATATCAGAACATGCGGCCTAGTTCTATGAACTATGATGATGCTCCCTTCTACTTGGGCATTCGCAGAGGCAAGGATGAAGTCCCAGTGGGATCATGGTATCTTACACAACCTATGGGAGAAAACACCCTCATGCAAATAATGAAGAAATGTTGCACTAAAGGTAATTAAACAGTCTTAAATAATGAAATAAGTGTTTCCCAAGTATTGAATACAATGTTAATTATAATAGATATGTTCCTGTAGTTTTTACCACATAATTTTTTCTCAAAGTGTTCCAATCCACAAAGCTAACTAGAATTTGTCAAATCATGCCATTTTCATAATTTTTTCCCTTAAGCTCACAGAAATAAATTCATTTTGGCTACTGTATTTTCAAATGCTGGGGAGATCACAAGTTCATATTATTTCTAGTGCTTGTATGCAAACTTGGCAGATTTATGTTCATACATTGTTGACACCTTTTTCATGTATAATTCCAGCTGGTATTAGTGCAGACAATGTAAGCAATCATTCCAGCAGGAAAACTCTCGTGAAAACACTGAAGAAAGGCGGAAATTCAGATACTAATATACAACAGATGACGGGGCATAAAAACATACAGAGTATAACAAACTACCACGAACTGGACATTGAAGAACACAAGGATATAAGTCATACACTTAGTGCATACAAGCCAAATGGCAACAAGGAAAATCACAAAATAAATGAGGCTCAGTCATTGGAATGTGCTATATCAAGTATGTCTCAGTCTGGTAATCCCCTTCCAGCTATTTTCCAGAATAGTCATATATCTGGTGGGAACTTTAGCTTTAACATTACTCTTCCTTCATCTAGTACAGTTGAAAGTGTTTCAAAACATAAAATATTGAGAAGTGACTCATCACAGTCACAGTAACAAGGATTTTTGATATGTTATATTTGAACATGACTATTGACTATAGACTGTTATATGACTGGTAAAATATTGATAAGTGACTAATCACAGTCACAATTACAATGATTATTGGCCATGATATGTGAACATGACTATTGACTGTTGGCTTTTTAATTAGACTGTTGTCTATTTACTGATCTATTTGTTTGTAAAATATTGTGTAAATATTGTTTGATAGGCTAACTATTGTAATAAAAGTTTTAACTTGATATTTATGTATTGTTATTCCTTTTGATAATTAGAGGTGAAGAATATGACAAGTACTCTTTAACTATGGAATAAAAAGAACATCCTATGATTTACTCGTGATATGATTTTAATCCACTCATGGATATTGATATCTGCACTCTCTCGCTACGCTCGCTCGTGCAGATATCATATCCATTCGTGGATAAAAATCATATCACTCATAAATCATAGGATATCCTCTATATATTGACCAATATAAGAAAAATATTGTCGTTTTGAGTTGACATATAAACTATTTTATTTCAAATATGGTATCAACAATTCTTATTCTAATTCCCTGCATTTCTTTGTCATTTTAGCTTCACATACTTTTTGTCCATGTTTGCATTTACATTTCTGGCATTTGTCAATAGATGGCATCTGTTGGTGATGTGAATAGAGGACACCCCCATAGATACAATCTGGAATTGAATATTTTTTACAAAATGATAAAACTTAATATGTATATATCATTATCAGAGACTTTAAAGAAAAAATTTATTATTGTCGATCAGTATCAACACGGAACATCTTTTTGGATATTGATAAAAGCACAGAACATCTGAAGTTAAACATTGGAATGAGAAAATATGAATTTGCAAGTCGTCTTCCTAGTTTCACTTTATTTTGGATGCTGTAAACTATCACTGTGTATATTAGAGGTGTAACTCGCGAGAAAAATCCAACTCGAGTTCAACTTGCCAAATATTTCCAAAACTCGAGTAGAACTCGAGTTCATTCATTTCGTCCAGTACATGTTGTAAACCCAGGTATACAAACTTACTGAAGCTTCTAGCGGCAAGTTTCTCTGGTTTAGTCACATCTAAAAGCTGTTTAACACGTTGGGGCCATATGAAAGTGTGGTATTCATTGCAGTTATCTCATATTTCAATCAAAAACAATCTGGTATAGACGTCGCCGCATACGGTAAGGACGAGAGATCGCTAGAATCTAACCGAACAATATATTAGAAAACCCAGAAGGGGCCCCTCAAATTAATGAATGGTTTTCCCGGATTATCTTCATTATTTATACTAAAGACTGCTGGTTATCGATCTAAAGTTGAGACTTATGATCTTAATTTAATGATAGATCATCTTTTTTTATGTAAAAGTCGTGTAAACGACGTGAGAATAAGGACCATTTTTATTCAATTTTAGTGACTTCTCTATTAACGCCCGCCTGAGTTCCTTCGATAGTCGATCTTTTTCTGATATTTTTGGTGTAACTCGTCATCCCACGATATTTGTTGAACTTTGTGAAGCTTTGAGAGTGTTTTTTAGGTGACGGGCGCTAGATATGGCGATTGTTGGTATATTTATTCCACTAATGAAGTAATGTTGCACGATCTCTGGGACCCGAATTCATTTTACATGCTTACAAGATAGGCAAAACTCGCGAGTTGACTCGAGTTATAGCTAGCTCGCGAGTTGAAATAGATTGCGAGTTTATAGAGGACAACTCGAGGCAATGTATAGGCAGCTCTGACGAGCTGAACTCAAGTTACTGACTCGGGAGTTACACCTCTAGTGTATATTCTTATTCTTGATTAGTCTTATTTTCACCACTGACACTTAATGAATAACATCCTTTGGTATTTTACTACTCTCTTCATTACTGAAAATGGCCCATAGATTCAAAATTCTGATATGGCTTATGTACTTGTCTACAATACCTTTTTTTGTTCCACACGTGATTCCAGCTACTCCATGATTCCAACACCAGTCTCCCCAGCCAATGTCCTGACACCTTTCAAACTTTAATTTTTTTTCAGAGCATCTACCTGATAACTCCATAATCTGTTCCAAATGCCCTTTCCCAAAGTCAGAATTGACATGCCTTATGAATTTTGCATTCTTTCCAAATCCTAATGTATTGCACACAATCTTAGCATCTATTTCATCAAAATGACGTCCGCATACTGTGCCCCATGTTCCTGAATAGTAAATTTCCACTCTGCCTGATCTGTTATTGGGACCATCGACTAATCTAACTAAATAAAAGTAGAAATAGGGTGGAGCAGGTCATTTTTACATGAAAAGACAAGTCTTGGTTTGGAGAAAAGTCTAATGGTCTTAAAATATCAAAATTGTCAGAAGCAGGCGTAACATGCAGTAGACTGATTCAATGAATGACATGTCTACTGCGCTAATAATTTTTTATGATAAATATAGAAATAACACCCAAATTAAATTATAGATATTCAAAAAGGACATTTAAATCTACAAAATGTAAAAATATCAAAATTGTCCAAAACAGGCGTAACGTACAGTAGACTGATGAAGTTTGTTCTCTGAACCAAGACTGGTCCTTTCAAGATTTTCAATTTATTATCCCAACGAACGAAGTTCTGTAGGGATATAGTGAAGCCCTCCGTCAGTCCGTCCGTCCTTCTGTCTGTCTGTCTGTCAGTCAGTCAGTCAGTCAGTCAGTCCATCCATCCGTCTATCAGGAAGATAACTCGAATACTAATCAACAGATTTTCTTCATATTTGGTGGAAAGATGTATATTGGTGAATAGTTTTTTTCAAGATGGCTCAAATAAAAGGCAATTTAAAGTAAATTGTAAATATTGTAGTGTTTTTCTGATTCGGGCCTCAAAAAATGGCCACCTTATTCGGGATTTCGCAATTATTTTCTGATTTCTTAAAAGTATGGCTATATTATACTCAAATTGAAGAAATTTCAGTGTACATCACAATTATGGCATTGTTTTGGCATTGTGGAAAGCTGATTTTCAAAATGGCTGCTCTTTTAAAAGTGGCAGCCATTTTGGTGCCAATTTTACAGTAATTTATGTACAAAAAAATTTATATATAAAACTGTAATGGCAAGCTTTAAATGTAAAAAAATTAAAAAGGACATTAATAAAGCTAGAAATGTAGATATTTAAGAAGCACATGGCAGCCATCTTTGGGTAGTTGGTGGCCATTTTGAAAATGGCAGTCATTTTTACGTTTTTTACTATAATTCAAAAAGTAGTGGAGTGATTTTGTTCATATTTGAGATGTGAATACCTTAAGCATGGCACACTGTTTTGACATTTTGGCTAGTATGTGGCCATTTTGAAAAATGGCTGTCATTTAAATCTATGTGTGCGATTTTGTTAAAATTTGCCTACTTAGAAGCATATTACACTTTCTGATGACAATTTGGCTAGTGAGCAACCATTGAAAATGGTGGCCATTTTTATGTGTTATTTTTTGATTTTTGCTCTTCTTTGTTTGTAAAAATGTCAGCCAATTGTCTGTTCGATGGTATTTGTCTTTTGTCTAGTTGGCAATAAAAAATGTCTGTTATTTATAAACTAATCAAGTTTGATTGAATGATTATTTTATACCCCTCACTTTAGCAAAATCGAAAAATAAAGATTTTTTCTATCAGCAACTTATTTATTTTTTACCTTGTACAGGTTCAGGCTCACAATCTATCCCAATTTGATCCTTATACCCACATTCTTCCCTCAAATCATCAAGAAGCTTAATTGGAAGGCGTCCTAATATAAACCTCTGACACAGAGCTAATGATTTTTCATCTCCTTTGCAATTTACTCCTGTAAGCCTGATGCGCTCTGAGCTTGTTCCGAAAAACATGTAACTTGGTAGATCGGTAGGTTTTGTCTTGTTAGATTTGTAACCAAGACTTTTACAAACTACCGCTGCTTCATTTTGAAAGTTATACTGACAAACAGGACTCCAGTAGCCAAATCCATAAACTTCTAGCCGACCATGAGACTCCCTCTGACCACCTACTAGTCTATCTATAATAAGAAAGCACAAACTAAAACATCAGGTTGTCAAATTCACTACCATCAAATCTACTTCTGTAGAGAAAGTTTTAAGATCACAATTATCTTATATATCATATAAACCCTTTACTAGAAAGTCCTACATTTGATAGGATCCCTTTTGCAAGAAACTGCAAACGCATGCTTATGTTTGCATTCAGGGTCACCGTCTTTAAATTTGCAATCAAAGAGTGAGGCTTCTGTCCCTTGACAGTCAAATCTGGAGATAAGAAATGGAAGCGTCCAATAGCTAGTTGATTCTGCCATCTCAAAATAATCGCCAAATAAGGGATATGCATCTTCCCTTTTGAATCCTTGTTGAACACAGATGACTTGTGCTGCTTTAGTCAATCTTTTCAAGTCATAGCCATGAAGATCAGACTCCTCTGGGTTACACATGTATCCCCAACCTGCAAATCCTTCTATCTGCACATCTACCTCCACATTACCTTCAAACTCCCCTCTCCCTCCTGATAACCACACTGGAATATGTTAAGCTAACATCAAAAAGAGTTTAATTCTCCTAAAATTTTCAAAATATATCTAGCTCATCATTAATTGGCATGCCTAATTTCAAAATTCCCAATTTTAAGGTTGACTTGAATTTCAGGCAATGTTAGTTATTATTGCATTTATATCAAGACTTACTTTCTTTGATAGCCTCAACTAGTTTGTGACTTTTTGTTTGTAAATGACTTGTTTGGACATGTTAATCTTGATTACTATCTGCTATTATATGCAATGACATAGCAATTAAATCAGTAATTCTGCTACAGGGTGTTAAAAAAACGCAACCCAAAGAAATCGCTATATCGTGAAAAACACTAGTTCAATTATGTTCATATTTACAGGAAATAAAGAAGAGACTGTGTATGTATAGCTCCTGTAAATGGTTAGTTGTAAAACATGATGCCTTGGACATCTGCTCAAAAGACAGTTGTACTAGGAGAATACGAAAAACGCAGTCAGGGGTGACTGCAACCGGAAAAAACTAAATAACTTCCTTACCATAGTGTTTTGGCTCTTCAAATTCGACACAAATCATCTTCATTTACTGTATGGTAAATCTGTTGAGAGAAATCAAAATCACTTTAGGGACTTTACAGTCATGGTTGAAATGCTTTCAAATTGCAGTCAAGAGACAAGAGATTCAGGGAGACTTAAGAAGGCATTTTGACCATGACTGTAAAGTCCCTTTAGTGATTTTGATGAAACTCCACAGATTCACCAAACATTGAATGAGGATAATTTGTGCCAAATCTGAAGTGCCAAAACACTATGGTTAGAAAGTTATTTGCTTTTATTGCTGTGGCAGTCACCTCTGACTGCGTTTTTATATTTTCCGAGTACAACTGTCATTTGAGCAGGTATCCAAGGCATCATGTTTTACAACTTCCTGACAACAGGAGCTATACATACACAGTCTCTTCTTTCTTTTCCTGAAAAAATAAACATAATTGAATTAGTACTTTCAAAGATAAAGTGATTTTCCATTCACGTTTTTCATATTTTGCTAGTACAACTGTCTTTTGAGCAAGTGTCCAAGACATCATGTTTCACAACTTACTAACAACAGGGTCTATACATACACAGTATCTTCTTTCTTTCCTGAAAATATGAACATAATTGGATTCGTATTTTCCAAAATATAGCGATTTCTTTGGGTTGCATTTTTTTAACACCCTGTATTTTATGAGTACACTGTATATCTATGCATGAATATATTTACATCTTGGCTCTTTTTCTGCACACCAGACAGCACTAGGTATAGACAAGAAACTTGTAACAAAAATATCTGAATCCTCCCATCCTGTGTTTTTGCAATCTTGGATAGAATCTTCATCACCTGTTAGAATATGATAACATCAAGTTAATTCCTCTTATATACGAAAAATATTAAGTTGTAACACACAGATATTATGGATTTTTGCTATTGCATTAATGAATAGACTTCATCTAAAAATTTGAACCTGTAAGATGCATTATTAGCGAGATAAATAGTGACATAAAAAAGGGCGAAAGCGCCGAAAATGGAACAAATCGTGGAACTTTCCATATATGACCAGACAACCTTCCTGGGTGTAAAAAGCAACTGTGCCGAAAATTTCCTCCATTTTTTATCTACTTTTCGCAATTTTTACCCCTACCCCTAAAATTTATAGGGGTAGGCTTAATGACCATCCATAACTTTTTAGGATTATCATTAAATAGTATCATGATTTCAATGTTGGGACCTTTTACCATGATATACATGATAATGAGTGAGATTGCAGTCATTTTTTAGCAAAATGAATATTTACTTATCTTTAATTAATTCCTTTTATCTCCAGAGTGGCATATACTTCGACATAATTAATGTAATTTTAATTGAAAATAAAGTTTGACAAACTATGTGACATCTGATGAGTGACTTGAATGCAAATACAGAATAATCTAGTAAAAAGTGTATCTTTCTTAAACAACTACCAAAATCACTTCTTGTTTTTGACAAGGTCATGCTTGAGTGACAATGAGCATCAACGTTTATGATAGGATCTAGATCAGTTTTTGTAAGTATGATTTTGACCTACATGATTAATAAAAATAATCAAGAAGTAGTTCTGCTTATTTTGATGAACTGTTATGTTTTAAAATATGATATTGTTGGTCTAATAAGGGCAGTTTTAAATTAAGAAGGAGTGTTATGTGTATTGGGAGGGGGTCTTGTTACCTGGGTAGATTTCAGGTAGATTACCAATCAATACAATTTTGCCTCTTGATTTTGAATCTTGGATAGATACCAGATAGCAGAGTGAAGAAACAGGGTCACCTATATTCAAATTCTGGTACATGGTACTCCAATATACCAATACGCGATAACGTTTAATTTAGTTCAGTTTAGCTACCTCCCATTTGAAGAGCTCTCATGTATGGTACAACTTCGTCTACATCCGGGTTCTTTCCCATTGGATTACACAGGGGTGCTATTTTCAATGCCGCACTGCGACTCTATTAAACATTTATGCAGAGTTTCATTTGCACAAACGATAGGTATGCATGTAATTAAGATATATGACAAAGCTTTTTGAACTATAATCCCCAAATCTGAAGAAATCTGTAGTTGAAAATGCCGACCAATTCCAGTGACGTCACTGATATCCCAGAAATTGCTCAGACGCCATCGAAGATTGAAAATAATGTTACTTTGAATCTACGATTATCCTTCAGATTATTGAATAGATTGGATCATATAACTATGCTCGAGGGCTGATGGAAGATCAGAAGCTGAGAAACGTTCAGAGTAATCGACTTGTTCGGCGGGCCAATGCAAATTTGTCCCTTCTGAACTCTTATCGCGAATAGGAGTATTACAAGTTCTGTGTCTAACAGATAATAACTAGAGCTGTGAGACTTGGTGACTTCTAGCTCTACAAAGAAACTATCACCTGTCCATGTAAGTGATCTGGTTCAGCTCAAAGAAATCCACCCTGAAGTTCACAATGCTTTCATGAAGGGGCATTTCACTGTCAGCAAGTCAAGAAGAACCTTCTCCTCCATGTCAATAGACCAAGCCCATAAGCAAAACAATAGTGTGATAAAAAGTGAGGGTGGAGCTGTGGGGTTGTTCGACAATTCAATCGCATTACAGAAGTGGATGGTCGGTGGTCCAAGAATGTTAACTGAGTTTGAGGATGAGATGAAGGATAATGATGATGAAGTCCTTGCAAACCATGAGCACAGTGTTAGTTATCAAACCAGTTTCAACAAATATGTCAATTCCCTTACTGAGGTTATCAATGATTTAGGAAACCCCTTTATTGCAACATCAAAGGAACTTTGGACACTTGATACTAAAGATGTAATGTCAAGCAGTACAGTTGACACATTGAACACAATTGAGAATAAAAAGGGGAAAAGTTAATGTGAAGTATATATAAAGGAGAGAACTATTGAAAGATCAAAAGCCATCACCAGACCCTATCAAGAGAAACAATTTCAAGATCTTCAAACAAATCTAACTCAATTTCAAAGCTAGCAAGCTTGAAAAATGACACTGCCCTATTTTCACAACTATACATATTTTCACAACTATACATAGCGTGCCAGAATAAAAACAGCAACTTAGATGAACTTTTCTGACATATGAACCAGGCATTCCCTCCATCCCTTTCACAAGATGGCACAATCAAGACTGGCCTCAAAGCAAATATCTTAAAACCAGTGGAAGACCTTGTTCCAAATAGAGAGATCAATACACCAGATGTTGAAGCCCTGTTTCTTGATGGTGCCGTAATAGTCCACCTGCTGAAAACTCAAGAAGCAAGAACCTTCCTACAATACTCAAATGACATATTTGATAAGTATGCTGCAGATCAACTTAATAGAGTACAAAGACTTGATAATGTATGGGATCAATATATACCAAATAGTGTCAAATCTTCAACAAAAAAAGCGTGGATCTGGAAAGCGTCAAATAGTTTATCCAGAAAACAAATTGCCAGGGAATTGGCCAGAATTTCTACGCTCGGATGACAAGAAAAGTGATCTCTTTACCTTCCTTGCATCAAATGTCTCAGTCATTCCAGTACCAGAGAATAAAATCCTGATTACAACAATTTGGAATTCTGCAGAGGCATATCCTAAGCAGCATGTTTCTGAGATTTCAACATCATCCCTTGAAAAGCAGATTCCCGAATCTTTCTGCACATATATGATGCAATGAAAAAAGGCTTCACTAAAATGACGATTAGAACAGTTGATTGAGACAATGTTGTTCTGGCAGTTAGTACAACTTAACATTCAAATCTGGCTCGCCTTTGGCAAGGGAAAGTCCTATAGATACCTTCCAGCCCACAAAATTGCCTATGTTAATGACTCCTCAGAAAGCCATGTGTTTCCCAATATTCCATGCTATGACTGGGTGTGACACCACATCAGGCTTTAATGGAATGTCTAAGACATCAGCCTGGAACCAATGGAGTACCTACCCTGAATTGACTACAGTATTAACAGAAATCTCAATACGACCCAATACCCTGCTTGATGCCATGCCTATTTTAGAGCAGTTCATTATTCTGGTCTACAACTTAAAACAAGCAATGAAACATCAATCAATGCTGCGAGGAAGGAGATGTTCACAAAGAGGACTTCAATAATATCACACATTCCTCCAACATTAGATGCCCTTTTACAGCATAGGAAGAGAGTCATAAACCAAGCTGTATTTATTTGGGGGCAACCACTTACAGCGAATCCTCAAGTTCCTTCCCAGCTGAGTGGGGCTGGATATTTGAAGACACCAAATGGATACCAAGGTGGACAACCTTACCCCAAGCATCAAACGCTTGCCAGGCTCTCATAAAGTGTAGCTGCAAATACCAATGCATATCAACATGATGCAAGAGCCTGAAAGGAAATCTTGTTTGTCCAGCATGATGTGGTGATGGCAATTGTTCTTCATAAGGACACTGCAACATATCAAAAAGTAACTATGATACTGATAGACACTAGTATAAATCCTTCTATTGATAAAATTAATAAAACTATGATTTAAAAATGTGTGCAAAGTGAAACTAAAGGAACTATGAAACAGGTATAGATAGTTGATATATGGAGTCTAACTGCACTCAGAAGCCACAGGAAACCACAAGTCAAGCCGTATCTACCATTTTTTCTGTATATCTAAAAGATGGGTGTGACTCAAAACAAGCCTTTAACAGTGAAAAAGGTGAAAAATAATAGTCATGTGAAGCATTAGATATAGATGTAATTTTAAAATCATATATCACTTATTCGATTTACTCCTGCTACTGTGATATGGTGCAAAATATTCAATACAAGAAAAGTGGGCGTCGCCCATCACCATCCTTTAACATAGCAATTGAAAATCAATGGTATTTCATATTTTTACTTCAACATTAACTTCTAAACATGATAAGGTAATATTAAATTTGAAGTATGAGCATAATTTAGTAAAAAAAATTGTGTCAAATTTTTTTTAGCCCCCCCCCCCTCCGTGACCATGGGGGGGGGGTAAGAATTGTAAAGTTAGGGTAGTTCCTATGGAGCGATTTTTTGGCACAGTTGCTTTATTTAAAGAGTAGCAATCAGTGATCATTTGAGGAAAGTTTCACGATTTGTTCCGCAAACGGCGATTACTTTACACTATTTATCCCGCTATATATCCTTAGTCTTGGCTAAACGTTTTAGAAAAATTATGTGAAGATTACACCAGCATTTTTAAGATGCCTTACAAAATATAATTGAGTTTACACCTGTTTGCTAAGATGTCTCGGAGATATGTAGGTATACATGAAATATGAAATTATCAACATGGCTATTCCATTCCTATCTAGATACTTTTTGCTAAAGGATGCATCGGGTGCGCAAATATATGAACCAACAATGATATATTATTTTAAAGATCATTCAATTTGCAACAAAATGATATATAAAAGAATCCCTATCTAGAGATATATATACATGTACATGTGTATTCATTCAGCACAAGGCACAAAACCAGGCTAAGAGCTCTCAGCTAAAACTGATGGATTAACACAATGCTTTGCAAAATGTTTTAGCACTAAGACGTCTTGGCTATGACTAGGGTCCTAAAACGTTTTAGCTAAGCGCTCTTAGCCAAGAGCTCTTGAGATTTACATTACATTTGTGAAACGTTTTAACACTAAAATGTTTTACCCAAGATGTCTTAGGGTTCTAGTGTAAATCAAACTAATGCATTTATTAAGATGGCGAAGCTAAGATATACCTTTGCAATCAACATCTCTTATAACAAACTTAGGGTATTGGTCGTAAGGTTCAAAGATCAGTGGGGATATTGGTATTGCAATAGCATCTTTAAATCCCAGTTGCTTGCACACGACTGCTACATCAGCATTTGTATCTATGGCTCTTTGACATAATGTTCCCCAGCCATGAGGGCCAAGCACTTCTACTATTCCAGCTGATTCTGTTCCTTTTACTAGGCGCACTGTTAATAAAATCTATGGTTCCTAATACTATTGATGATCATTGCGAATATTCCAAGAATTAACAAAGGTCCTCATTGCTGATATGGCGAAATTAAGCAAGAAGGCTTTTATTGGATATTTTGTCAAATGTGTCAGCTAATATATTTTTTTTATTATTATTATTTTTTTATTTTATTTATTCATGTAATATAATTATGATTAAGTATTACTTTTACACACAGGTTAGATCAGTCTCAAGCCTTAGCACCATTTTGTAGGTTATCTAGTCCTTTGAACAAATTAGTTTTTTTTATTGTTCATTGAAAAATTCTTTCATATTCATTTTCAAATAGCATTTTCAGATTTTTTACAGATTCCATGTGCCAAGGTCTTATTGGCATAGGACTCTGGTCAAGAAGTAATGCTTAATTAAAAATGGCTGCCCTTCCTCAAGAAAATTATGATTTTTCTGATGACACAAACACCATTTACCGGTTGAGGTATTTAATAAATAAAAAATATGTTTTGTCCGTCAGGATTTGCTACTCTGTGGAGTTTCCGTTTTCTAGTTTTTATATACGTTTTTTTTCAAAAATCATAAAAGCAAAGAAGTGGTTTAAATACTTTAAGATTTCCATTTCATGAATATAGCCTAAAATGATATCCTGTCACTAGAATGTATGAATTTCAGAAGTTAATATTTGATAAATCTTACCTGTAGCATTAAGTGCTGGTGTTTGTCCAAATGTTTTAAAAGACAAGAAAACCAGATGAAATATAAAAATGAGTACTCTTTTACAGTATTCCATTGTTATTTTCTCAAGCTCTGAACGACAAATTACTTGATTCTATGTATTGTTAAAATTTCAAAAGTATCATTAACATTTTATTATATGAAATATTATTGAATTAGTTTGTGTATTTATTTTATTACACATTTATTTTTGATATACTTCTAATTAAGTGTCATCATTACTTTGATTCTATAGTAATAATTGAAAGATCACTGTGATCATAAAACAACTTTTTCATTCATGAAAAGATAATCAAATCGCAATAATTAATACTTACAAAGCAATACCTTCTGTATAATGGTGTTCAGTTGCACTTGTTTCACCATAATGTACTCATTATAGCACATTTACCATGATATATCTTGGCAAAATCTACAATTATGATGTCTTTATTTTCCATTTTAAAATTACTGTGTCTTTTCAAACCTATAATGCACACAGTAAAAATTAATTATCCCGCATTGGAAGACCTTGGATTGCCATTTTTTCAGGAGAGGATGTGTTGATTATATATTAAAGAAAGAGAAAAATTATGCAAATTCATCAACTTCCTTGTTTGACCCCTTTGTGTCAACTATGGCTGGTTTAAGACCATGGATATCAAAATCTCCTCTAATGTTTGCTTTTACACCATGGGCAGCAAAATCTCCTCTAATGTCCGCTTTTACAATAGCAAAATCTCCTCTAAGGCCTAATGTTTGCTTTTACACCATGGATATCAAAATCTCCTCTAATGTCTGCTTTAACACCATGGATAGCAAAATCTCCTCTAATGTTTGCTTTTACACCATGGGCTGCAAAGTCTCCTCTTATGTCTGCTTTTACACCATGGATATCAAAATCTCCTCTAATGTCTGATTTAACACCATGGATATCAAAATCTCCTCTTATGTCTGCTTTTACACCCTGGATAGCAAAATCTCCTCGAATGTCTGCTTTAACACCATGGATATCAAAATCTCCTCTTCTGTCTGCTTTTACACCCTGGATAGCAAAATCTCTTCTAATGTCTGCTTTTACACCATGGATATCAAAATCTCCTCTAATGTCTGCTTTTACACCATGGATATCAAAATCTCCTCTTATGTCTGCTTTTATACCATGGATATCAAAATCTCCTCTTATGTCTGCTTTTACACCCTGGATAGCAAAATTTCCTCTAATGTCTGCTTTTACACCATGGATACCAAAATCTCCTCTAATGTCTGCTTTAACGCCATGGATATCAAAATCTCATTTAATAGCCTTAACTTCAACAGCTTAAATTATCAAATCAAAGCACAATGCAGAGGTTTGTGTGAGACCCAAACCCATGCAGGGATGGATGGGAATTTGTAAAGCATTATTGTCCCTGGGGTTGGGATTTAGACTGAGAACTTTGTCTCTGGAGTGGTTATTTAGAAATGCATTTGCCGAGTGTTTGTTGTGTTTGTTTTGTCTATTGTACAATAGAAAACAAGACACTAGACTGGAAACTCCTTACTCTTTTTGAGAACAGATGAAAATACAGTCCTCTTCATGTCAGGCACAGTTTAAAGGGTGAAATTGCTGAGATTAACTGCTAGAAAGAGAGAGAAACACTAGAATGATACCATGTAGAAAAATATTTTCCTATCTTATTGGCTTGTTCTCCTTGTCCTAGCCCCCCCCCCCCCTCCCTCCTGAAAAAGATGCCCTTCAAGGTTCAACTTGTGTTCATAGCCTTAACATAATTTAGAATATATGAATAAAAACACAGTGGAAAACACAGTTGACCTATTAGGAAACTCATTCATTCATGATCGTAAATGTTACAAGTTCCCAAAATATATATTTTTACCTCCATTGCTTTATCATTCTCACTTACAAATGAGCCAAATTTCCACATGTCTATCCATTAATAACTGAAAATTTTTTTAAGAGAAATATCGAGTTGCAGGAGGTTCATTTTTGGTCATAATCACTCACATTCAATTTATCAATGTATTACCATGCACTCATTAGTATTTGTGAATGAATTGTTTGGGACCAGGGCAAAACAAAATGCAAGAAAAGAATTGATAAGAGACCAACAGATTTATTTTGAAAAATTCTTCAGTTCTTATATTAGTTACATACATTTCTTTGTCATTTTAGTCTCACATACTTTTTGTCCACGTTTGCATTTACATTTCTGGCATTTATCAATAGATGGCATCTGTTGACGATGTGAATAGAGGACACCCCCATAGATACAATCTGGAATTGAATATTTTTATTATCAAACATGTATAAATAAATATGCACATACATTAGTACTGTAATGTTCGTATATACTCGTATGATGATACAATTATTATGTGGCACATTGAATATCTGCTGAAAGACCTAAAACTTTCTTCATAATAATATCCATACTGTCGCCACCACAGCCAATGGCTTCAAATACTGTATGTTATGACTAAATGGCTCATACATTGGGCATTGCAAAGATTAATATTTTACTCCTATTCTGTCCAATGGACCCATCGATTCAAAATTGTGACATAGGTTGCATACTAGTCTGCTTTACCTTTATTTGTTCCACACGTCACTCCAGCTACTTGATCATAACTTCTAGAACACCAGGCGTTACTCTCCCAGAAGATAGACTTACAACTTTCAAAATTTAAACTCCTTTCTGAGCATCTAGCTGCAAATTGCATTATCACTTCCAAAGGTCCTTTCCCAAATTCAGAATGGGTATGTCTTATAATTCTCGCATTCTTTACAAATCCTAATGTATTGCACACAATCTTAGCATCTATTTCATCAAAATAACGTCCGCATACTGTGCCCCATTTTCCCGCATAGTAAAGTTCCACCCTGCCTGATCTGTTATTTGGACCATCAACTAATCTTGCTAAATTAGAGTAATGACAATAATTATAGGATTGGATTTAATCTATTTATTTAAATTTGTCTCAACATTTTTAGGTCCTCGCAACACCTGTTTTGTATGTTGATTTCAAATTTGTACCACTTAAGCTAAATTCTGAATATTTGATCCTGAAAATAAAGTAAAATGCTCACGACATCTTATTTTTTACCTTTTATAGGTTCAGGCTCACAATCTATCCCAATTTGATCCCTATCCTTGCATTCACTCTCAATATCATCATCAATCTTATATGGAAGATGTCCTAATATGAATCCCTGGCACAGGGCAAGTGATCTTTCATCACCTTTGCAATTCACTCCTGTAAGCCGGATGCGCTGTGAGCTTGTTCCAAAAAAACGGTGACTTGGTAGTTCGGTTGGCTTTGTAATGTTAGACTTGTAACCAAGACTTTTACAAACTACTGCCGCTTCTTCTGCAAGAAATTCATAACGACAAACAGGACTCCAATAGCCAAATCCATAAACTTCTAGCCGACCATGAGACTCCCTCTGACCACCTACTAGTCTATCTATAATAATGAAGCACAAACAACACAAAACATCTTCAGTGACATATTCAACAGACAAAACAACTCTCAAACCTACCTCTATTTACATCTATGTTCTTAAGTATGATTTGTAAATTAAAGTTGACAGAAAATTAAGTAAAGATAAATTAATCAATCAATCTGGATGTCTGGGGACACTTGGATTAAAAAGCTGTGGAAGATGAAATGTCACAAGTATATAACAGGTTTACTTGATTTTCAGTATTTTCTTAGAAAACAGAGTTGTCTTACATTTGATAGGCTCCTTCTTGCAAGACACTGCAAAAGCATGTGAATAACTGCAATCTGTGTCTATGTCATCAAATTTGCAATCAAAGAGTGAGGCTTCTGTCCCTTTACAGTCGAATCTGGACATAAGAAATGGAACCCTCCTGTCATTTAAACAATGTTTGCAGTCATAGTCAGTCCATTTTGCCTTCTCAAAATAATCGCCAAATAAGGGATATGCATCTTCCTTTTTGAATCCTTGTTGAACACAGATGACTTGTGCTGCTTTAGTCAATCTTTTCAAGTCATAGCCATAACTGTTATACTCCTTTGGGTTACACATGTACCCCCAACCTGCAAATCCCTCAATCTCCACATTACCTTCCCAATCTCCTCTCCCTCCTGACAACCTCACTGAAATATACATTTAAGAGAGCGAAAAAGAATCTAATATTGATAAGATTTTTAAATTAGTTTCAGTTCATCATTTCTTGGTGTGCCTATTTTTCTAAATTCCCAATTTTTAGCTTTGACTTGAATATTAGGCAATATTAATTCCCATGGCACTGAATTATGGGCTTGCAGCAGACTGAATTGCTCTAATACTGCCTTCAACTCGGTCCTAACTCTGTTTGTAAATGACATGTTATAAATGGTATGTGATGAGCATAAATTGTGTTGCTATGAACAAACATGTATTGTAGTCAGTATGATATTTATGTTAATAATTGCATCTGTTATTATACAAATAGTGACTGCCATTGAGAGAATTAGTGCAAGAGAAGCTCTGTATAGTTTTTGTTTGACTGGATGGTTGACATGTTGACATATTCTGTTGTATTAAATTATCTATGCACGGTTATATTTACATCTTGGCATTTTTTCTGCACACCAGACAGCACTAGCCCAGGATCTTGGATATTCCTCCCATCCTGAATTATGGCAATCTTCAACAGAGTCTTCATCACCTGTTATGATATGATAGCATTAAGTTAAATTTTCTGTACTAATAAACTACTGTATTAATAATATGACGATTCCTTATTATCCCACTGAATGAAGTCTTGTAGGGATATAGAGAAGCCGTCTGTCTGTCCACTTGTTTGTTCATCTGTCCATTTGTTAGTTTGTTCAGGCGATAACTCAAAAACTGGTTGACGGATTTTAATCAAATTTTAAAGGCTTATGCCTTATTGGCATAGGACCTCAAACTCAAATACCAATAGATGGATTTTGCTCAAATTTTGGGTGCTGATGCTTTAGGGACAAAGGACTCTGCTCATAGGAATTTTCAAGATGGTTGCTCAATTCTATTGAATGACTGTCCAAAATGACTAGGGATTTAATAAAATAAGTTTTGTTCAGTGGGTATTGCTATTCTGCATATTTGCTATTTTCTTTGCTGTAGGAACAAACAAATAGTAATAGATTTCTTTTGTATTTGAGTTAATGAATGGACTTCAGTCTAAACAATTGAACCTGCAAGTTGGACTCTTTTTTCTGCTGTAGTTTTTTACATCTTTTGTATGATTTAACTGATTTAAGTAAAGATGCACCTTTGCAATCAACATCTTTTATCACAAACTCAAATTGAGTCTTAGAGTCCAGATCATTTCCAAACACTAAAGAGGATATTGGTATGGCTATAGCATCTTCAAATCCCAGTTGCTTGCATACCACTGCTACATCAGCATTTGTATCTATGGCTCTTTCACATAATGTTCCCCAGCCATGAGGGCCAAGCATTTCTACTATTCCAGCTGATTCTGTTCCTTGTACTAGGCGCACTGTGAACAATATCAATGATTCATAATACTGTTGAAAAAGCCCTTATTGCTGAGATGGTGAAATTAACTGAGAAGGTTTTTAGTTTTTTCTAGAATGTTTTGTCCAATGTGTCAGCAAATATAAAAGGGTCAGATATCAAGCCTTACAGTTATCCATTCAATTTTTAAATTCAATTTTAACAAGCTGTATAAATTTTTAAAATAATAAGCAGAAGTTGAAATTGAAGAAATCTTACCTGTAGAATTAATTGAAGGTGTTTGTCCAAATATTTTAAAAGACAAGAAAACCAGATGAAATATGAAAATGAATACTCCTTCAAAGTGCTCCATCGTTATTTTATTAGTATAAATACATGTATAATCTGAATGACAAATTAGTTTGATCTGGGTGTTGTGTAAATGTCAAATGTCCCATAAACTTTTTATTATATGAAATAATGTTGAATTGGTTGAGTTATTGGTTGAATTATTTTATAACATACTTACTTTTCATATACCACACAACCAAGTGAAGTGTAATCATTAGTTTGTCTTTTTACAATCTACATTCATGAATAAAAGATCACATACATCATAAATGTCCCTATAATGTTGACACACTGAATGTCCCTGTCCAGATAGTAACTTGAACATTACACAGGAGTCACGACTTTTTTTTAGCTCACATGTTTGTTAATAAAATTTACTGAATTGTAATAATTGATATTTACAATTGAAACTAATACTATTTCGTATAAGGTTGTTCAGTTGTATTTGTTTTAACCATAATTTACTAGCATAGGACATCATTTTTCAAACATGTACCATGCAGTTGTATTAGCACACTTAGAGCACATTTACCATATACATGGCACATCTTGGCAATAACATGGGATTCATTTTACATTCCAGTTAGGGGTAAGTCACTTCAGGATCTCACACAAACCAATGAACTTACATTGTACATTTCAGCTAGTGGTAAGCCACTGCAGGATCTCACTCAAACCAATGAACCTTCATTTTTCATTTTAGATAATAGTAAGCCACTGTAGGATCACACTCAAAGCAATGAACCTCCATTTTACATTTCAGTTAGTGGTAAGCCACTGCAGGATCTCACACTAAAAAGTGAACCTCAATTTTACATTTCAGTAAGTGGTAAGGCACTGCAGGATCTCAAACAAAGCAATGAACCTCTATTTTACATTTCAGTTAGTGGTAAGCCACTGCAGGATCTCAAACAAAGCAATGAACCTCCATTTTACATTTCAGTTAGTGGTAAGGCACTGCAGGATCTCACACTAAAATGTGAACCTCTGTTTTATATTTCAGTAAGTGGTAAGCCACTGCAGGATCTCACACTAAAAAGTGAACCTCAATTTTACATTTCAGTAAGTGGTAAGGCACTGCAGGATCTCAAACAAAGCAATGAACCTCTATTTTACATTTCAGTTAGTGGTAAGCCACTGCAGGATCTCAAACAAAGCAATGAACCTTCATTTTACATTTCAGCTAGGGGTAAGCCACTGCAAGATCTCACACTAAAATGTGAACCTCTGTTTTATATTTCAGTTAGTGGTAAGCCACTACAGGATCTCACACTAAAATGTGAACCTCTATTTTACATTTCAGTTAGTGGTAAGCCACTGCAGGATCTCAAACAAAGCAATGAACCTCTGTTTTATATTTCAGTTAGTGGTAAGTCACCACAGGATCTCAAACAAAGCAATGAACCTCCATTTTACATTTCAGCTAGGGGTAAGCCACTACAGGATCTCACACTAAAATGTGAACCTCTATTTTACATTTCAGTTAGTGGTAAGCCACTGCAGGATCTCAAACAAAGCAATGAACCTCTGTTTTATATTTCGGTTAGTGGTAAGTCACCACAGGATCTCAAACAAAGCAATGAACCTCTATTTTACATTTCAGTTAGTGGCAAGCCACTTCAGGATCTCACTCAAAGCAATGAACCTCAATTTTACATTTCAGTTAGTGGTAAGCCACTGCAAGATCTCACACAAAGCAGCTCCCAAGACTCCCAGCAGGACTCTGACCTCGACTCCTCAAGACTTAACAGTTCATACAGTGATCTAGAGAAGGACCAGAAGCCAAATAAAGGTGCTATTAACTGGGATATTGGGGATATACTTGAGGCCAGTGGATACTCATCCTCCGGACCAGAAAAAGAAGAGGCAAAGATGTGAGTGTGTTGCCGGGGTGTGTTATCAATGAGTATTTGTAAACTGATCACATCTAATATCAATGAGAGCTAGAAGCGAATAACTTTCATCTCAAGAAATGGACGTAAAAGTAAAATGTATTGCTATTTGATATCTATAAAATGATATTAAACTCAAAAATTAAAACTTGGTAAAACCCTTTGTTCTTGACATCTCAATTAATTTAGTGAATGTCTAAGCAGTCACCATTTATTGAGTTTTTTTTATGTTTTTGTTCAGTTTATTCACTCAGTCATAAACTCAGTTAGACATTATTCTGATGTACATGTATAGAACTTCGAAATTTCAATTTTAGTTTGATTGTTGTTTACTTGTTTTAATATACATTGGAAGGGTCATAAAGAAATGCTGTGTATTCATATTATAACGACAGTGGAACTATTACCTTAAAAAGCCTTGTTTTTGTATTCCAGAGAGAAAGCTCCACCGTCCATGCGTGATGCCATCCAGGGTATGCTTTCAATGTCTCAGGGTGGGACGAGTCTACTATCTGGCCCCTCAATTCTCACCTTGGACCCCCTGCCCTCTACTCGACCTACCCTGGCTCCATTTAAGGCCAAACCTCCTCCCATTCCGCCCAAGGTATTCAGTGATGACAGAGGGGAGGTGATGCCTATGTGCTTTAAGGATGAGGAATATGGTAAGGAGTCAAAAACTTACTGTATATATACTTGTATATTTTTTACTCAACTTAACCAATTTATCGATTGATTGATAGGAAAAAATAAAACCTAAAATTCACTATACAGTGTTATATAATACATGTATACTCCTACTCAATTTGTAAAATCTTTGAACCCTGCATATTCACAATCACCCGATTTCTAAGTACCAGCTAGATATGGCTTTATTATATACATGTACAGTCACTGTGTGATTATTAATCTAAAGTGAACTCTACTTGGATATGCTTAAAATGTATTTATACAGGGTTACCCCAAAAAATGCAACCCTCCATTTCTTCAATATTTTTCTTAAATGAGGGTTAATTGCTCTGAAATTTGGCACACACTGACTTCATACAATGTGGGATCTTCTGGCAAAGTTTCAATAATCATAGTCTTATACTGATAGAGCTATGGTCGTTCCAAAATATGCTCCAAATGTCGTCCATTTCCAATTTACGTTTTCAGATGAATCACATTCCCCTTCTTTCTGAACATGTAAACTCAAGAAATAATGTGTTCTGGGATCACAAATTCCAGATGAAGTGCTTCAAAGGCCCCTTCATTCTGTTAAATGCACAGCATGGACTGCCAATTTCCAAACATGAAATCATCAGCCCCTTTTGGTTTGAGGTTGATAATGCCAACACTGTTACTGTTAACACACAGTGCAATATTTGCGTTCCCAGGAAGTTCTAGGCAGTTCTAGAGTGGCATAGAGGCTTCAAAAGACAAGAACAGTGGTTCTAGAAGGATGGAGCTTCTCCTCACACTTCTAATGATAGCCTATGAGAAGATGATCTCTCTTAGGACAGAGAACCCATGGTCATCCCACAGTCTTGATCTCAATGCCCCTGACTTCTATATATGGGGTTATTTAAAGGATAATGTGTATGAAAATAACCCTATCGCAACTGCAGAACTCCAATAAGCAATGGCTGCAAAAATTTGAGCCATACCCATGGGGAAGAATGCATCCGTCTTATGAACAGTTTTCCTTGAACATTGCAAGTTTGTTTTCAGCGAAATTGACGACATCTGGAACATATTTTGAAACAACCATAACTCTATCAATATAAGACTATGATTATTAAAACTTTGCCAGAGGATCCCACATTGAATGAGGTTCTTATGTGCCAAATCTCAGAGCAATTTATCTCCATTTAAGAAAAATATTGAAGAAATGGAGGGTTGCATTTTTTTGGGGTCACCCTGTAATTGTATGGAGATGGGGCATCTTATTGATAGAACATGATAAAGTGTTCACTCAATGAGCAATTACAAGCAATATGCAATTAAAAGGTGTTTTAACGTAGTGTACATGTATAGTATTATTTCATCCCATTTATTTAGTATTTCTTATATGTGCTTTTGAAAAATAAGTTATTTTGCAGTTTACCCCACATTGGACCATTCTGATGGTGAGCAAGAACATGTCTTCAAGCCAAGAGGGAGACCACCTAAAGATGAGACTTGGAACCCTAAAGGTATCTCATCTTTTGATGTGTTGAATATTACACTTAACTGGCCAAGGCACACAGTTATAAGTGTGCAGTTATATTATTTACATTATTTTATGATAAACAAAGTAATTTAAATCTTTTTATATTTATTTACTTCTTTTATTTTTTTATGATTAAATGATGAATACTTCTGAAAAGTATTACAAATACTAATGTGTTGCTCATAATTGTTAAAATCCAATAACCCTGCAATGTCATGTACCATTTTGATTTACATGCTACTGCTGTATCATCCATTACTATCAACAAAGTATTAAGGTAAAAACCAGAAAACCAGAATACAAATATAAAAGAGTTAGACAATATAGAGTACTACATTAGAAATATGCTATGACTGTATGTGCTTGTAAGCAAATGTAATGTTGTCATGTCTCCAATATTCCAGCTCGTTTAATACCCAACTGTCCCAAGCCAGAGAGACCTGCCAGGGAGGGTGTCAGGAGGGAGTCGGTGGAGAGTGGATTAGCGGCAGCAGCGGCAAAATTAGCTACAATGCCTGTAAGTTAACATGATTTACTAAACGCTATCCACTGTGGTCAGTGGTGTTATTATGTCACCATCAGAAGTGATGACATATTTTATAGTCTCCAACTTTATTGTGGATGGTGTTCTGTGTTTGGTGTTCAGCGTTGGGCATCTGTAATAAATGGCATGTGGTGACATTTTGTATGTTAATGCCTTGTATGCAGTTTAATAAAGTAGGTGCGAGTAGGTAGTTACCAGTTTCACCACCAGGTGGCTCGCTCGGGTCAGATAGCATGGCGCGTATAGTAGAAAGTTCACTTAAACTTAAATTTTAGTTTTAGTTGTTCAATTTTCATATAACCCTTATGTATCTAATAGTTATGCAAATTAAAATATGTCCAGTAAAAGAAAATGTTATCTATCCAATATAAGAAAAGATATTTCACTTTTTCTGATTTTGTAACATGGGGTCTATAGGGAATCAACCCGAACTAGAAGTCACATTTTCAAAAATAATTAAATTTTCAAAGTTGATAAATAATTTTCGAAACCATGTTTCTAGATGTACTTTTACATGTACATTTCAAATATGACATCACTTTGACTGAATTTTGAATATTTAACGACATAAATCAAGATGTAGTCTATTGTCATAGCTGTAATAGGTGTTTCATTTGTTTGTTAATATTGAAATCATAGTTTTAAAATAAGATTAGAAAAAGGATGCCTCATTCTAAGAATAACAAGATCAATTATGGCAATTATGCACATACTTATACACTTGTACCTTTAGAGGCCTAAACGACAGTATATTCGTAAGAAACCCAAGAGGGACCGACCCAACATGGCAATGTCATACTCCTCAGACATGTTTGATAATCCCCAGGCAGGGACATCATCAGATCTGACCATAGATCTATCTCAGAGTGCCCCAGCATCTACTATGGCTGGAGCGAAGAGACCATTGCAAGGTGCTCTAAAGTCAGGTAAGCTGTTTTTTATGTCACCACCACAAGTATTGATATATTGCTATAGTCTCAAACTTTTTGTGGATGGCGATTGGTTTTCAGCCTTCAACAGTCAGCATCTGTAACAAATGGCAGGTAGTGACATTTTTTATGTTAAAGCCTTATTATCATTTGTCTTTCTCATCAATTGCCATTTCGCTAATGAAAAAGTGTGAACATTGTCTGTGTTATACCTTTTTATCACACCAACAGTTGGATATAACTAATAATAACTGATAGTTATCACGAGTCTTCAAATTCATATACATTAGAGAATACCAAGTAATGAAGTTGATCAACATTCTTGCAGCCATTTTAGAAGTGTTTTGATAAATCTCATCATGGGCATTCTAGAAAAACCTCTTATCGTATTTTCTTTAAATTTGTTCCATTCTGGTTGTATGATTTCATTCACGCCACAAGCTTTATTTTACTTTAATTGCAAAAATTGATTAAATAGGATTGTTGGGTCTTGCAAGGGAATAAATAACAAGAAGAATTTAGTGCAAAATTTTTGTTTGGTTGACTCCTTTGAGTGTCTCAACCAGGTAATTATGTCAGTTGAATTTTATTTTGTTTATCTTTAGTAGTGTAAGTCAGAATCAGTGAGAGTTATAAGCCATAAACACGGACATTATAGGATCTCTGCTTCATAGGAACTTTACACACCATATCTTATTATTTGTACTATGTGTTTCAGGATTACCTTTGAAAAAGCCAAAGAAAGGACAAGCTACTGCCAAACAGAGACTGGGGAAAATATTAAAACTACATAAATTCAAAAAATAGTGATATATAAATGTTCCAATGTAGTTACTAAGAGATTTTTATAAGGGACAACAGTGCTATAAAGATTATGTATGTCATGAAGACCTGAAGTGTAATGTGATATTAGTTTTGTTCAATCAAAAACATTTATTAATTTAATATTAAGTATTAATTTATATGGCTGGTCCAAGTTATGTAAGTTGCTAATTGATATTTTATTTTCTTATTCCTGATTCAGCCTTCCTATAGTATTTTTTTAAATAAAAATATATGGATGGAAAGCATTATTTTCTAAATATGTACAAGTAGCAATGTCCAATAGGTGATACACTTAGTGCAATATGAGTTAGTTTGTAACATGTGCATATACTGTACGGAGTCTGAGTTTGATCTTAAAATGCACAATTAATACGCATCCATGTATTCATTCTGTAATTAGTCGTTCAACCTCACGCAGTGAGGATGTCTAGATCTCATGTTTTGAACTGTTGCATTCTTCAACTAATTATAATGATGAGACAGTTCCTGTAAGATAATTTTTTGGCCAGTCTTTTAAAAATTAATTCGTATTCCATTTTTATGTCACCACCACAAGTGGTGACATGGTTATAATCTCCACCTTTTTGTGCATTGTGTTCGGCAGTTGGTGGTATGTGTATAAAATGGCAGTTGGTGACATTTTTATGTTAATGCCTTGTTTTTATTTATTTAATCTAATGGTATCGTTCATTTCTATCTCTCGAGATGCCAAACTTTAAAATAAGTGCAAATAAAATGATTCATTCAAGCCAAATTAATAATCTCTTACAAAAATACTTGAGTGCCAATTTTACTTTGTTTAATCACAGATTAACCAATGATGTGGCACAGTGAGGAGTTCAGTACTGAAGTTCAATAACCTCAAATTATGTTTCTTGAGTCATTCAATGACATGAAGGGCCTGAGGCTCATGAATTTTATTTGGACAAAATTTTACATTTTGGTTGTCTTCCTACTTCCATGCTCTGTATTTGACTCAAAACTTTTTGTTCATAAAAACATATACTTGTATAGTCTATTGTACAGCCCCAAATCTTACTCCATTTTTTTTACTTTGGTCTGTACACTAAAATGTAGACTATTCTGTTTTACAATTTGATAAAGTAAAATCAGGGGATCATTGTTGTATAAAACAACTGAGAAATTCCATTGTTGTTTACCATAGATATCATGATGCCCATAGAAATCAAATGGTTAATTTTGTTTGTGATTGTTTTTGATTTCTTTGAATATATTCAAACATGTAGGTGTCTGTATAAATGTGTACATTATGTAAATATATGAAATATGACGTCCATTTCATTGTAACAAACTGAAAATAAAAATATGTAAAAATAGCAAATGTTTTTCTTTTGTGGAATAATGTTGTTTGTGTACTCAATTTGTTTTAGTGATTTATTGACAAACATGTACATGTTTCATCAAAACCTGTCTGAAGTAAACGCCTCTTGGACAAGCTAAAAGTGTTCATGTTGAGAAGTGTTCGCAATGGTTCATAGGAGTGAATGGAACATACAAAAATTGAACTTCTTAAGTGTTTGCATTTTGAGGTGCCTACTTTAGAGGGGTGTTTATATATTCAATTTTAAACATTTTGGTACATTAACTTGTGCTACTTCTTGACACTTCTGTACACTTATCTTTTCAACTAAATATTTTTACATTTATTATTTCACCCAAAAATTGGTGACATTTTGTCATGGTTGTTATTGTTATGGTGGTTGGTGATCAGCGTCTTACAACTTGCAATAACTTAACAAATTCTGACTAGACTGATTTCATTTTTTTCAAAATAATCTACAAGTTTTCAGATGTTGAAATCTGACTATATATTTAAGAGTTAAAAAGGTTAAAATAGGTCAAAAGGGTATTTTTTCAACTTGCTTCAAATTGATCAATTTTTTTTTCAAAATCATTTACAAGTTATCAGAAATTTAAATCTGACTGAAAATTTGACCTTCAATGACCTTCTCGAGGTCAAAAAAGGTCAAAAAGGTCTTTTCAAATTGACCAATTTTTCTTCAAAATCATCTACAAGTTCTCATAAGTTCAAATCTGACAATAGATTTGACCTTCAATGATCTTCTCAAGGTTTGAAAGAATATTAGCCAGTCTCACATCCTTCCTGGACATATTGTTATTATATGACATATTGTTGTGGTCTCCAACTTTTTGTGATGGTGTTTTCAGTTCAGGGTCCAATATCTAACAAATAGCAGGTGGCGACATTTTGCATGTTGTTAATGCCTTGTTAACCATAGCTTTACTTCCTTGAAGTCAAATTGTTGAAGAATATACTAGGAGTATAAATTATCTGACCATGTTAAAAGTTCTTGGACATTGCTTGTGTTCAGGATCTCTGCACAGTTACCCTTCCCTCATGGTATTATTATAAACATGGGAGTTCTAAATTCAGGGAAGTCCTGTATTCAACCATAGAATTGTGCTAATATGCAGGCCCGTAGCCAGGGGGGGGGGGGGTTCGCAGGGTTCGCTGGCTAGCATGTAGGATGACACTTGGTCCAAATATTAATCCACTTGCTTCATTTGTTGGGTAAAGATTTACATAAGATACTTAAATAAGTATAGAAACTGAATTAGACCAAATACTTAGTGCGCTGTTCAAACACTTTTATTTGCCATTTATACATACAAATTCAAACTTATTATTGAAAATAATTAACTTGGGTGGTGTTCCTATAAGATTCAATTTTATCATTAAGGTCAAATTAGGACAGAATGAAGTAGCCCTTGTAAATCTTGCATTCATTAACCCTCAGGTCTTTATCGATTTCATGATAGTACATACTACAGTTTGTTAAATTATATGCCTTGAAATGTCTTTTAGATATGTGCATAATAAAGTGAGTATAAAATGTTAAGAGGGTTGGTGTAGTACTCTTCTTAAGTATGATTGTTGATGAGACCCATGTGTAAAATTAGCAATATCTAACTTTATTTTTTAATGCCAAAAAAACTTATCATCAAAATCATGTTACGTAAGATATTTCTAATATATTTTGATCAATTTTGGATCATTATCTAGAGCAGATTAAGATTTGATAAAAAACAAGTGCGTTGGAATAATGAATTTAATTTCAACAATTAAATAGGTTTGGGGATCAAGCCGTCTCTTCACATAAGTTCTTTATCAAAGTAAAAACTGAACCTAATAGATCTCAATACGTTTGTTTATCTCCTGCTCATCTCCAAACTATGTGACTGTTGCCCATAAATGCGTCTAACGATCACTGGTTAAGTATTGCTTGGTTGGACAAATACAGAGCAGACTGGATTAAATTAGTCCAGGTAATATCATTTTAGTCATTTATTTGGCTTATTACTGAGTTTTTTATGGTTATATATCAGGTTATATTGAAGCTCTCATGTACAGTGTACAGGATTGGATTTATGAAAGGTCACTTTTTGTGGATAAAGTTGTTTTGTGATAGAGCAAGGTGAGTTCAGTTTTGTCTCAGGGATTACTTGATCAATTGAACATTAATTAAAATGTGCTTTGATAATTTTATGCTTAATGGATTATCATCATTTGCATAATATCAGTACTTTAATCATATTTTCAAGTTAACAAATATATACATATCACATATTGTTTTGTGCCTAAATTGCAAAGTGCAGTTTATGCATATCCGTTATACATGGCAGTCTATTATGCTTATACATGTAGGCGGCTCATTATTTTGCATCACAATAAGTCTCGGGTTAGCTAGTAACCTTTCAACTAATTTTTTCGAAGATATCCTTTGTTAATGTTTCATTTAGTATAAAACCTTTCAACTGCATGTTCGCACAATAATAATAACGTATAGAATTCCTTTTAGAGAAAAAACAACCTTTTTACATCAAGCGCTCAAGATAAAAAGTTTTAGAGAGGGGATGGATAAGGTCATTGTACCTCATACGGGTATTAGGCTCCGTTGAACAGCCTTTTTACATTGCTGTTGACAAAAATCTATCATTTTTTACCCCCTATCAAAAGATCTATAGAAACTCTACAAAAGGGATATTCTAATGTATTTATCGAATTGTATTAAGGTGATATATGCTGACATGTGTTGACCAGGGACTTGTGAATAACATGTACAAATGCTTAAACCTTTTACTTTTCGGGACAATTGAGTTGTAAAGAGAAACTGGTAGAAGCACATAGAAAATTAGAGAATCGCTTAAGATCATATTTGGATATGGTAACAGGTAAGTCATTTTTAGATAATACATAGGAAGTAGTATTTGATCTTTTGTCATGTTATCAAGGGTGATTGTATTAAGTAGCATATTGTAGATATTGGTAGTACTAAACTTAGCAATTGAGGGATATTATCTAGTAATTCGGGTAATTGTATGTTCATTGAATGTTGATTCAATTATTATGTTCATGATTTTTATCTCTATGTAGTTCTCTTGAAGAGTTGTTTTATTGGCCTGTCTGAACTTTACATGACCATTTTCATTGAGTTAAATAACATCTACTTCATCAAGGGATAAGTTAATATGAAGAAATAGAAAAGTTGAAATTCTGATGTATTACATGTATGCAGTATTTCATTTAATGAGGACCAGAGAAAGTTAACAAAAGGTAATTATTTTCTTATTTGATATTAATAAACATGATAATAAAGTTCATCAACTTTTTTTGACTTTTATTTATGAGTAAGACGAGACGGAGATTTAAGTATGTGATTTTAGTGTTCTTCCTTGCTTTCTTTCTCGTTTGTCTGCTGCATTGTTTGTTTGTATGTTGTATAATTGCTTGCTTGTATGTTGCATTATTTGCTTGTGTGTTCTATTGTTTACTTGTATGTTGCATTATTGGCTTGTATGTTGCATTGTTTGATTGTATGTTGCATTGTTGGCTTGTATGTTGCATTGATTGATTGTATGTTGCATTCATGGCTTGTATGTTGCATTGTTTTCATATATGTTACATTGTTGGCTTGTATGTTGCATTGGTTGTTTGTATGTTGCATTGTTTGCTTGTCTGTTGAATTGTTTGCTTGCATGTTGCATTGTTTGGTTGTATGTTGCATTGTTGGCTTGTATGTTGCATTGCTTGCTTGTATATCGCATTGTTGGCTTGTCTGTTCAATTGCTGGTTTGTTTGTTTCTCTGTAAAATCAACTTAAAAACATAACAATCTTTTTCATTTTGAAATGTGACCTCAATGTTTGAAGTTGGAAAAAGTAGGTCATACATTTGTTAAAACTCAATAATTAGTACTATGTTATTCAAGGCCATCCTTGTAAACAATTGTCAAAGTTCAGGGTCAAATTATCTCTTTCTTGTATTTGGACATAGGTTGAATTCATCCAAATATTTTTGAGTTTAAATCCAGTCTTTAAAGATCATTACAGGCAATTATTTAGGTCAATTTAGGTAACACTAAGCTAAATTCTAAGTTATTTGATAGATCAAAATATGAGCATTTGAAGTAAAAATATGGTGGGTTCCTTTTTAAAAGCTAAAAATAAATCGTTATTCAATTCATTTATTCAGAGTTTATGAAAAAGTATGTATTCTATATTCATATATTGGTGAAAGGTTATATTTATTTTGATAATAGGGCATGGATGTATTGAGGCATATGTGTTAGTTATGATCCCAGTGGGTACGTTGGTAGACTGGAATACAAAACTTAGAGTTCAAATTGGCCAAAGATCATATTTAGACATCTATGATGTAGGACTTGGTATGTCCTCATAAATAGAAATACAAACCGGTGTGAAAGAAATTATGGTCCCCTGGGAATTATGGTCTCCTTTCTAAACGGCCCTTACTGGCCCTGATTGTGTATAAGATAATACGGGAAAGAGTTGTATTTAGGTCACCATATAAATCAATGGAGAGTTGGACCATAATTTGATAGGACCTCCTACCCTTTTACACAGGCAAACAAGTTCCAAGTATTACAAGCTTTAACAATGAGTTTATACTCATTTTGGCAACCTGATAAAATACTTAATTTATTTTCATCAGTGAATTATGGACACCCGTTGATGTTATTTTTTGTATATACGTACTGCCAGACTATCCCATTGTCATCGTATTTCAGTTTGACGTAGTTAAATAAAAGCAAAAAGAGCACCGCTGAAAATCAAATTTAAAATGTGACGAAATCCTGTCATTATTTTATTAAGCCCAATCGCATGAATCGGAGCCCAATGTACATCATAGAGCATGCCACCTTTGTTCAAATACATATATGCTAAGCATATTAAAATCTAATATGGACGATCATTGTACCCGGTGTTCCATTTTGAATTATATTCACTGTTCTATGAGGACCCGGCTATGTATATACGTATACAATAAAACCTTTTAACTTGAACACCCCTATAAGATAGGTTATTCTGTAAAGTGAACACGGTCCAATAGGCTCAATTTCTGTCCATCCCATCCATTGGGTTGCAAGATAAATCTCAAGATAAATACCCATGTATGATAACTAGAAGCAAACATTTTCCTCGGTACAAAGAATGTTCACTTAAGAGGGTTTTAGTGTATTCGGTTTGGGTTTTATATTCTCATTCATGCCCTAGCTCTATAAACGTTTGAATGACTTCTATAGTATTGCATTACTTTGGATATTTATTTTTCTTTTATCGTCGTGAAATTTCAACAGAAATGTCATGTTATTCTTTTTAATCATTCATAAGAGCCCTTTCTGGAAAACAAATACAAAGGTATGTAACATTGAAGTGTGTCTATTTATTTAATGTGCAACGTATATTGGTCTAAACCTTAACACGATCGTCTGGAAAATGTAACTTGCACGATTGTAAAACTACATCGTTATACAGAGCTGAATTGGTTCAAGTAAACTTTTAAACCCTTAGATGTTTGCTCATCTGATAGTGCGCCAAAAGCCCTTATTTACCAAATATCACCGTCTTCATGAGTCGGCTGAACAACTTTATATGTGTGATATAAAAATAGCCAAACTAGTACGTAAGCGGATTGGCATTTAAAAAACGACTTTTACACGGATGAGATATCTTTTGTAAGTATACTTTATTTTTCACAAATTATTCAGTTGTGATCGGATTTTATCAAACTGCTGAAATAAATGAACTATTAAACTGCTGACTTATTCAACGTTGACTTATAGGAGCGAGTCAAAAGTTATAGACGTTCATTGCCCAGGTAAAGGTGCAGTATCTTTATTTTTTGTCATTAGATTGATTTGATATTTCGTATGGTTTAGCAAACACAAATGATTATGTTAAATATACATTTGAAGTGTGATGATCATTTAAACAGGTTTAACAGGCCTCCGATGTTTAAGTTTCACATTAATTGAAATATTAATTATTTAATATAATTTCAAGTTTAATTATGGTAGACTCACACAAAGATTATATCGAGCACCCATTAATTAGAAATATAAATGCCATATTAAATAATAATTAGACGGAAATTCCTTTCAGATAAGTTTAGACTATTTATCATATTTTGCATCATGAACCTCTCTCCTAGATTTCACAGATGGAATGATAATTTCCTATGCTTCTCTGCCTTACCTGCATTCAAAACGTTAAGAACAAGGTTCAATGGGTAGGGAGTTGGACAGAGGTATGAGTTGGTAGGAATACGTATTAGTAAAGGGTAAATTAATAGGCTAATAAATTCCACAATAAACACATTTTTGATTTTGGTATGAAGTTTTCGTTGATTGAACAAAACCAAAATGGTAAGCAAGCAATATTCGCATTTAAATCTTAACAGTAATATCAGAGAACACAAATATGTAAAATGTTTTTCAATGATTTATAGATGGCACATTGGTTGTTTCAGTATTCGGTAGCGTGCTGAATCTCAACAATCCAATCAATCATGTCAGTACCCTTTGCATTCGTTTCGTTTCGCTTAGCTGCCTTCGTCTACAGTGCCTAAACTCCATTCTGATTTATCAGAGTCCCTTATTTTTTGTCATTAGATTGATTTGATATTTCGTATGGTTTAGCAAACACAAATGATTATGTTAAATATACATGTCTGAACTATTCCAAAAGGATAGTAAAGGCTGTGGATCCCACAATGCCTAAACTCTAAATATATGTAACCACAGGTGCCAAAGGGAAATTATTAAAAAATGTTAAAGGGCATAAAAGAAAAAGAAAACATCTAAGAGTACACCAGTCTATGGAAAACAAACCCAAACTATCCCGAACTATGATCTATCGTTAAAAGAAACAATGTTTAACACCCCCTCCCCCACCATCGAAGCACCAGTATCACAATCCAAGACCATAACACCAAGGGACATTTCATTCATACTGAAGTCATTGCAATATATGCTGTACATTACAATACATGTTGTACATTACAATACATGTTGTACATTACAATACATGTTGTACATTACAATACATGGTGTACATTACAATACTTGTCGTACATTAGAATACATGTTGTACATTACAATACATGTTATACATTACAATACATGTTAAATGAATAGTATTAACCGGGAGTATTAAGAAGAGAGAATTTAAACTGTAAGCAATTGTTTTTAAAAACATTTCAATATTTCCTTTACACCAACCTTTACAATCCTAATTATATTTATTGTTCAAATTCATTAGAACTAAATGACCCCCTTTTTCCAAAAATGGCCGATAACCTAAAATCTAAAGATTATCCTGAAATAAAGTCAGAACTGTTGGACATTTTATTAAAAAATATATTATGAAATAATGAGCAAAACTAATGTAAAATTGGGACATTTTCCAACTAATCTCGCTCATCTCGCTATCCTTTTTACTTTCTTTAATTTTTATTATTTGCATCACGATTTAGAATTGCAAGAACGTGTTCAAAAACAACTTTTAAAATTCTTAACAAATTGTTTTCAAAATAAATCAAAAACAGTATTTCGGAAGTTGCTCATGTGTTCATGATTCTAGAATATATGTATTCTAGAAGGATCACAAAGTTGTTTTCATAAGGTTCTAATTTTTCATTTCAAAGATAGTAGATAGCTCACGATCTTTGGAATGTTTATGTGTGGGATTGTTGATGTCCAGCGATTAACAACACATAGATAAGGTCTGCATCACTTTTCCTCGTGGAATCACATCCCGCCAGGGGCCAACGCAACCACGCGACTCACCACTACACCTCATTGAATCGTATAGTTCATTCCCTGAAGAACATTCTCGTTGGTAATGCTAACATACCTGACTTTACACTGCAGCTGGTCATTATACCTTACCAATAGTTACTTCTGGGCTACCACATCACTAGTCTTGAACATTTTATTCCATTAATTACGAATGATATCCTATGTAATCAATGGACCATGGTCAAATCAATGTTACGTTATTTTCATTATCATTTTACCGTGTTGAAGTTTTGATGTTTGTATTGCTTACCTTTTCATTATATTTCTATTGAAGTAAGTTATACATAAAATAGGATTCAGGTACAGTTGCTATGGTAACCCTAAACTAAAATTATGCAAAGAATTAATTAACGTTCCACATAATTTCGTGGTTAATCGCACGATAATGATCGCCTGTTTTTATTTATAGAGTTAATGATCATAGAGCTGGAAAGATACGAATTGAACATAATCATAATCTGAGATTATCCGGATATTAGATTATCTATATAAAAGAATGTTCTCCCGTAACAGATCATGTATAACTTAGTCTGGTGTTCTCATCTTTCAGAGATTTTCCAAATTAGGAACGAGTTGCATTAAACGTAACTAAACAACGGGCCAAGAATCTCTGCATAGAAGTCTAGAAGAGTTCAAATTACGTAGCTGCTAATCCAAGTTATCTGTTTCAGGCCAGAAATAACCGAACAAGCAGGAGCTTACTAACCAGGGGTACAGACAGCCAGCAACAGGGTTGATTCAACAACTGGACTCTATTTAAACAAAAAATCATAAAAACACAAGTAATTGGACTTAATCCCAATAAGAAGTGCATCAGTAGTGACTTTTAGCAAAACTTTAAAAAGTTTTACAAAGTTTGTAAAACTTTAGTGAGGATTACTTGGGGATTACTTTAAAGAAATACAGGAACAAACTACATCCGGATTCACCGATTCAAGGTACTGTGTTACACATACTGTATTTACAAAAAGGAAATTGTCAAAAATTTGGCACATCCTACGCATAAATCCTGAAAAGAAAACCACAGTCCACACAAATTGTGTTGACTGATTAATCATTAATAATACGAAACTACGGTCGTTGAAATACCCCCTAGCTCAATATGTATGAGGATTTCGAAAACGAGGACGAAGAAGAAGAGATGCCGGCGACAGAGAGAGAATTAGCTGACGATGCTCAGTGGAAATTAATCCAGAAAAACACCTTTTCAAGATGGGCTAACGAGCATTTGAAGACTGTCAACAAGTACCTGGCGGACTTGGAGACAGATCTGAGCGATGGGTTGCGTTTACTCGCCCTGGTCGAGGTCCTTTCGGGAAAAAAATTCAAGCACATCAACAAACGTCCAAACTTCAGAACCCAAAAACTTGAAAATGTCACCATGGCTTTGAGGTTCCTTGAAGAAGATGAGGGGATCAGAATTGTCAACATAGGTATGTAAAAATTAAGTTTAATCAATTCCTAACAAGATAGACCTGGTTTTATTGTCCAAATCCCATTTGAAATAGCCTAAACAAGGCCATATTTGACACAGGGGTCTTGAGAACAGGTTGACCTGAATTGACCTGCCATGCAAACCAACCACCTGTTTCTGAATTGTGGGGAGTGATTTTATGCTTAATCAATTATCTTGCCCACAGAATATACCACCAGTATAGAATGTGATCTTGTGGGAAGAATGTGTATTTTAGACTGTCATTGTCAAGGTCTAATCTGAGTCCTTGTTATATACACCGATGTCATCCAGAACCATAAGGACTATAAGCACTGCAGAAAGTACAAATAGTAGTGGTTTACATTTGTATTTTAGGGTCTGGGATTACTTGTACATTTACTCCCTCGATTTACCCCACTACCCCATTTAGATCAGAAAATCCCCGCTGACCACTCTGAGTGATTGAATTCATGGTCTCTGGTCTGTGCATCAAGGCTATGTCTCCCCACTATTTCTGATTAAATAAACTGTGCTGAGAGACAGTCCGGGGGTAGGTAGGGTGGGAGGGGGGGGGGGGTAGGCTTGGGCCAAGATTATATGAACATGAACTGACTCACAGTATGATTATAGTCATATCATACATATAGGGGTAAATTAATCTGAAATCATACTGTCTGTTAAAAATCAGATAAAGGATAGAAAGAATCGAAAATTCCATATGTTTGATGAATGTGGATGACAGTGGGAGATATTTCTCCATTGATAGAAGCTTGGACACATCCTTGCTTAGAATCTGGCATACACCATGGACCTTTTTAATAGAAATGAGAGTCAAGGTGTGTATACTTGTACATGCATGCCTTGTCCATGTTTATTGCATATTATCTAATTACCTTAATTACATTCATACTTGATTAATATCAATCACCATTGCAATCCACACATTTATCAAATATCCTGCAGATATAAAATGTACTATATATGTTAAATGATTATCAAATCAATCTATTTTCTACTACTGTATTAATAAATCTTATGGACTTGTATGTACCAAGATTAAGTCTATTCTGGTTATGCTATATTCTGTATCTAAAACTTTCTGTAAGTCTCAGCAAGGATGGGTTATTGAGGCATTTATGTTGTGTGGACATGTTCAGAAAATGTTGGCTGTTTGCTACATGTATTCAACGAAATCCTCGGATCAGAAATCAAAACTTTAAGTTGTTACTGAGAGGAAAATCATATGCTTCACTTGGTAATCTGTAAATAGGATTTAAAATGTTGAGTATTTAATTCACTCCTACCACCTTTGCCAGCATTCCTGAAAAGTGAAGTTGGTTTTTAGGTTTAAATCCCCTCTTACTGATTTAAAGGGGTAGTGTAGCCTGATTTGAGAGGGTCATAACCTCATATGGATAGGTATATGACAAACAGAACCATCCTGTATATATTTAAAAATAATTTATTGACTCAGTTAACCTGAAGTAAGAGCCATAGATTATATCAAAACTAGATCATATTAAAAGAGATATAATACTAATTAATAAGGATACTATAGTATAATCATTGATTCAATTGACTTTTGATCTGGATCAAATAAATATGAAGATTATAAGTTAGACATTCTAAAAATGAGTTTTAGTATGCAAAATGAGTTCACTCAATTTATATGAAGATATGTGAAGGTTTACACCTACTTTTTAAAACCACTTCTCGCTGTTTAAATTTTGGTGAAAGTAGATGCATGTTATATGAAGTGCGAGTTTGCTAGACCTCTGGCCTCATTTATATTGTTTTTAAGGGTAATAAAGTTGACTGTTGAAAATATCATTGAGATTAGTATGTATGTGAAGTATATTCATCCTGAATTTAAAATTTTCATTTATTTAACTTAATTATGATGAATTTGAATGTTCTGTTTTTGTGAGGTCACCATATGTGAGGTAGACCAAGTTCTTTTTTTGCATAGTATGTAAGGTCAAATAAATTTCAGTATAGTTGGAGTAAAAAGTTTTGTTTTTAAGATTGATGTATTTCACATCTAGTTAACTGAACCAACCCTATCATTTTGCTCTTTATTTTCTCCTTGCTATATGTCTTTTGGATGGAAACTATAAACAACACCCACATTTCAACAACAAATATTTCTCTCTAGACATAATTCAATGGTGTCAGCTACATTCATGCAAAGTGTATGTATGACATATGATCATTGTTCTTTGGGAAGCTGAGTTAAGAAGCATCTGCGTCATCCCATGATTCAAACTGACATTAAGAAGGGAATGTACTTGGATTTTTACTACAGAGACTAAAGTATTATGGGATTACTGTTCCTTTTTGTATCAGGTCATCAGAAAAACAAAGGGCACCTGTTTCAAGGGATCAATTTTTTTATGAAATGAAAATTGAATCACTATGCACTATGTGAATATTGTATGTAGATGCTAAATGTCTTCAGGCTTTTAAACTTAGTTATTTGAACAGGACCAAATTTGCATATATTATAGAGTATGTACCTCAAATATGTGTTTTATTTAAATGTGCTTATACCTTCCCCATATTGCTTGTTAATGTTATCTGTTTCTAGAAAGGTTTGAGACTGGCTTTTCAAAAATATGCCTTTTCTCCATCTTAGTTCAAGGAAAACTATTGAACATGCATACCCCCTCCCTTGCATACTTAAGATACGTTGAGTCTGTTCCTTCATAAAATTCAGTCTCAGTTAATGCAATGAGTTTGGCTTCATGGATATAAAGAACGCTGTTTTGTAAGTTGTGGTCACTGGCATTTTTCACAATGTATGGGACATAATGAGTACTGATCTCTGACATTCTTGTGGCTGAGGTCTCACTGCCCATCAGTTCCAGACTCCTCATTATAGCTTTTCTCTTCTCTTATTGGGCTATTCAGGTCACATGGTCTGTCTTGGTGAACCTGGTAAATGACCTTTTAAGGGCTTCGTTGCTTGTTTTGTGGTTTGGCAATAATAAACTTAATGACTTTGAAAGAAAAAGTGCTGGAATGTACAACATACGTCATTATAAGGATATGAGCTACGACCACTGCGATCTTGGACTGGTGATGTTAGGAAATTCACAAAGTACCCCATTTTGGAATAAGACACCTCAAATTAACCCAGAAACATTATTTACAGTTGAAATTATGAAAGGAAAACATTGGTGCCTTAAGCAAATTCCAGGAAAGGGAATTAGAAATTGATTAGCCAATTTCAATCAAAATTCAATTCTAAAAATACAGTATTCGTCTTCCCCAAGGCATACCATTTACAAACATGTACTATAACTACACTATCTAAAATTTCAATATTTTTAATGCTAATTTCACGTTTCGTGCACATTTTCATATGGTTTATCATGCAATGGTCTGCCATCAAGCAAGCATCAGTATTTAAAGCCATGACAGTCTATTTTACTACAGAGTAACATGTTAGTTACAGATAGTCTTAAGACATTATTGAGCAATATCAATAATTCTACTCATCATTATAAAGATGTGTTATACTTATTGAGGGTATGCGTCTATCAAGCTATAATCTGAAGTCACAAATAGAAAACATGTACAAAACCTCAGTAAACCATTCCAAGCCATAAAACGAACCATCAACAATATTACTATACAGTTATCTTGTTACATTTACGATATACTTTATTTATACAGTTTCCTACATATGGGAAGAAAATGATAGTTAATGTAATTTATGGAGAGGGGAGGTACAACCAAGGGTCAGAGAGTAACCTGGCCAAATCAACCCATCTTACCTGTCATACATGACCACATATAGAATATAGATTATACAAGCAACAGAGCCTTGAGACATATGGCAAACAATTCAAATGAAACTTTTCCTAGAGTATAAGAGATTAGAATAAGAAAGAAATGAAGTTTCAGTCTAGTTAAGAGATATGATGCTTACATACTAAATGGTAGAGAAAAACTAGAATATGGAATGAGTTCAACGAAATTTTGAGAGATAGATAGTAGATTTGTGTTGTGGAAAATGAACAGACGGTTGCAGTTACACATATAGTGTTGACCTCAAGCAACTTGTTGAGAAAATTGATAAGGGTGTTGTTCATCTGTCCACTTAGTACTCTACTGTCCTTTGATATTAGAGCTAAATAAAAAATCAAATGTCCATTTTGTTTGACCAAATGTCTCTTGACATAAACCAAACACCATTAAAATGTTGATTGAAAAAAATTGATAGTTCCATTTCAAATAGAACTGGACGAGATTACCCAAATATTGATGAGAACGAAGCTTTACAATTTAGTGAATAACCATATTTTCTTTGGATGTGAGTCATTTGACATATTTATAATGTTGATTGTCTCTGTTGATTGTTTACCTCAATTGTTGATATCTGAAGAATGTATGAAGTCTATTATGCTGTTATCAAAACTATTTTGATATACATGTACAGTATATGTCTAATTATCTGAAATCTTATTGGCTTTCTATATGGATGTCTCTTTATCAATGGGAAGCTATCGAGTGAAATGCTCTTGAAAAGTCTGAGTTTGTTGAAGATATTTGAGTAGAGGTCAGGATGGACTAACACTTGAAGATAGATTGTTCCTGTTTACCACTCAATTATCATCCGTCTATATTGATCATTGAATGGTAGGAGAGGCTCACTGACTAAAAATGATTTTTTTAGAACCATGTTCTTCAATTTTCATTATCTCCTCATAGTTTGCTTAATCAATACTTCGTTGTACAATGATATATTTGTTTTTACAGTTTCAATCATGTCAACACAACCATTTAAATCAATACGACTGAAATATTTCGCAAATGCAGAAACTGATTTTGGCAAACTTTCTTCATTGCAACTTTGGTGTAGATATTAAGAAACCTTTGAAAATATAATAAGATTAATATTAAGATGTCTCAAACTAAAAATGTGGTTTAAAATGTGGTTTGTCATCTGTCCAGATTTTGAAGTTTTATTTGTTAAAGAATCAGGCTTAAACA